ACAATGCCTTGAAAATATAATTAATTATTAAGTACATGAGGAACGAATGTGACTTTGCAATGTCACAGTGACTTATCAGCCTAGCATTACACGTTGACGTCACTCTAGCTTTATTTAAATAATGTAGGAGGTTTTTCTGACAAAATGCACTTCTACAGGTGTGTCTAGTTAATATAGTAATACATTGTAGTTTATACACCTTTTATCAAATAGCATATGATCATTGCATGTTTGATTGAGAAAAAATGAATAAACATAGAGGGTTGGTATCATATGGTGATGGCGTGACGTGATGTACATATTGGGTGTAACTTAGTATTTTTTTATGTATTTTTAGCCCCATGAAACATTGTCATGATGGGTGTATTTGAAAATGAAAAATAGACAGTGGAATAAAGGAATAAAAAATCTAAATTACTAATATAATTATTTTGAATTGTCCAGAAATGTAAGGAAAACTGGTTTTGGAGAAAAATTAAATTCAACTGGAATGAACCTGGAAAAGTTGACAGGAATGTGCCTATAAATATTTTTTTCTGGGATTTAAACCATTTTCGAAAAAATGATACCTAATTTCAGAAATGAGTCCCAAAAGGGCTCAAAATAATTGGGCCCCTCATACTTTTTGGGAAGCATGTGCAGACGGATACTTTATGTTAAACTGTTTTCAGAATGAGGCTGTACATGGAACCGCTAACTGAACATCCTATCATTATCTTATCATTTGTAGTATAGTTGTATTCAAGTATATTATTAGCCTGTAACATCATTATCTTGCAGACATGTCCGGTTGTCACGGATACCCACCCTTTTCAAATGTATCATTACAGTAATAACTCCTAGACTCTCAGCTTCAGGATATTGGACAACATGGTATTGTTCAAAAATTGCCACTTTTAGCCATTTGTACCCACAACTACTCTGTCCAATATGGCAAAATAATTGATCATAGATTTGATATGCACTTTAAAGTATAAATTGTATACATGGATTTAAAGCATTGATAAAGTTTAGTGAATGTTTTCCTTTTGGTATTGAAAATATTGTGGGTGAATGACCTGGTATAACCTAACACAGCTTACATTTTTTCTTTAATTATTTTCATTTTGTAAATAAAGTACTATATAATTCATACATTCAATCTAAGTTCAGTTAATTTATTCATTTCATTGATCAGTTAAGGCGACCTCATTTACCTTATTGATATGTAATATGTGTTTCCCTTAGCACTATTCCTATATCATATCAATGACATATATGACACAATATTTCATATATGACACAATATTTCACGTATTTAGGAGTAGACATCCGTTTTTGTCAGAGGAGGAATAATATTTGCCTGCGGATGTTTAAGATATTTTAAGCACATGTTCTTCTGCCCACTTCAATTCTGTCAACTTTAACCAAATAATTCATCATTTCTTCACGTTAGATTCTGATCATTTCTCTCTCATCATGTTTATTTTACTCGATTTCTCTCTAAAGTTTGAATGAAGTGATTGATTTTCTTGCATTTCTGTGTTATTTAATGTGTGAACTACATGACTGTTTACTTTATTCCTTGCTGATATCACTGTTTTTCACTTAATTTCATACTTCAAAACACAACCCTCATGGCATTTTGGTAAATGTGATAGGAAACACATTGCAATCTCATCTGATATTAAGCTAGATTCCATGTTTTGTGGTTGTAAGTTATTTTACATAAAAATAAATGTTTATGTTTTATATTTGGGTGAAAATGTCATATTTTGAGAAAAAATTGTTTTTTTGTAAACCTTTTAATGTTAAATTATCTACATAACCATCACTTGGGTATAAGTAAATGTACCTATAGACAAGATAATAGCTACTAAGAGGTAGAAGAGGATGTACGGTATATTTATTTATGCTACACTTTCCATGTTTACGAGCATTAATCCCAAATATTTACAACTGAACATATAATTTCACTTTAGTCTTTATTATTTTACTATTTTCTCAGTAGAAATTATTTAAACTGCTAGATTTTCTAGCATTTCTTTATAATATAAAATGTCAACTTCATGCCTGTTTACCTTATTCCTTGCTGATTCCTCTCTTTTCCATTGATATTCATGATTTAAAATGTGAATATTATGCTATTTTTACAGGCTACCTCATCTCACCTGTTAGTACACCAAATTGCTTCTCTTAGAAATGGAATGTACATTTTACTGTACTCCTGAGGTTGAAATGTCCGTCTGCTCATGCATATTTCTTGTCATTTCTCTCAAAAATTTGAATGAGGTGTATGATTTTCTGGTATTTGTATATACTTTGAAGTGTTTTCTACATGCCTGTATATTTTATTTCCTGCTTATTTCACTCTTTTCCTCTCTATTTTGAATTTCAAAACATGACCATGATTCCAATTTGATGAAAATTTACTGAAGTACAGTAACACCTGTAATACTGAACATGTGTTACATCTGATAAAAGTGGAGATTGTTTCTGTCAGCCAGCATATTATCATTGGATTCATTTGTTGTTGCTAATAAATAGAATGATATATTTTCCTATATATGTTTGATGGGTTTAACTTAACTGTAGCTGAATTTATAGGGTTAATGAAGGTATGGTGGGGGGGGGGTAGAGGAGGAGAATAACCTGTTGCTATGATTTACTATGAATTCCATAATGTCAAACAACTATTTTAAGCAATGGAATTATTTTATTTGTGTTTACATATTTCTCAGTCCAAATTAAGGTGTAACTTTATTAGCCCTATATTCACGTCACTTCATATCGAGATAGCATAAATCATCATTAAAAAGATACAGAGAATTCTTTCTTGTTTTCATTTTGATTGCAGTTTGACTTGAAGTACCAAGAAATCAAGATTTCTGGCTATAAGAAGCTCATTATTTCAAAACCAGATTGCAGAATTCCATTAGTGATTAATATTAGTAATTTGAAATGTATTTTGTGCACCTACACCATCTACCAGTTCAGGAAAAATATGACTGATCAATGGAAATGCTAATTGTAGTTAAAATATCTTTGGTTTGACAAAACATATCCTGGGTTGGGCACTCTTGTATTCTGAAGCATGATTGGTTAAAACATGTCTTGTTGTTGCAAACACGATTCTGGGTGTGTATAAAATGATCTTAATAATCTCACTTGTAACTTTACCGACTTTTATCAAACAATGTATTATCACAAATGCTGGTAATGCTATTTATGGCAGAGCCATTGATTCTAAATTAATGATATTGATAAAGAAATCTGTTGATCTCAGTTGTACAGTCAAACTATTAATCATGTATACAAATGTTCACCCAGTACTGGAGCTTGGTTTCATATACAACAGGGTTTGAAACACAGCTTCCCGTGCCAATAGCAATCACTTCACTCTTGGCAATGAACTTGGAAAAATGGCATTAAAGATGCATTTGAAATTGTAAGATCAAATTAAAGGAAAGGATGTATCTTCTTTTTGAAAATCAATGCTGGTTGGACTTTGGGCTTTTCTTATAGACTTGATCAAAATTGAATGCTTTTTGGCCTCTTCCTGCAGAGCTCAAGGCTGGTTTATTGGCAATGAATCATTTAATTACCACAGTACTAAATCATTCCATATGATCCTGCCAAATTGCCTTACATTCCATCCCAAGTTATGTTAAACCATCCAATATCTCTTTAAAATTTGGATTAACTGTCTGATTTTTGGCATTTCGATACAATATAAAGTGTTCACTACATCCCTTTCTACTCAAATTCCTTGCGAATTACACTCCTTTCCATTAACATGACCATAAAATGGTTTGGTATGAAATTTTTCAATATGGGCATCCATGGTTTTGTTCCATATTATTTGATTTCATCATAAAGTTATAGGGACACAGTGTGTGTTTTGATCATTCTGCCAAATGTAACAAAAAAACACATATTAAAGCCCCCAAGGGAAGGGATTAAAAAATCAAATTGCAGTTTGAAATAAACCAAGGCAAGCAAGATGAAAATACAAAAACTATGAACTTGTAAGATGAAATTGATATGTTTGCAAGATGAAATTGATATGTTTAGATTCTGTTCTATTTTATTGCCAGCATGAGTCCCTTGTTATTTCGGCTTATAATACATGTACAGTTCACCATTCCAATTATAATGTATAATTATTGGAAAGATTATTGATGCATTTGTAATATAGTCCATGTAATGTAGTCTGATAGGTGAAACATAAAACAAGATAATCCCAAATGGATAAAGGCAATTAATAAGCCAGGCAGGGAGAAATTATCTCTTATAAAAGAGTTGAATTAAAATACCATGTTATGATCTATCCATTTTTCCTATGCCTCCCTTACACTATTCCCCCTTCCCTCAGACAATGTGGTTTCTCCCCTTAGGATTTCAGTAGTGCATTTCTGTATTAAAAGCTACAAACATATCATTAAAGGATGGACATTTTTTATGCTCATATATCATCTCTTGTGGTGACGGTCTGAGACTCCAAAGCCTTTATGTTCACATCAGGGTTTTCTTGTTTTGTACATTTAGAGTATAGATGTCCATGACATTCTATACAATGGCTGAATTATGTGCATGTTTGTATTTGTACATCTGGCCATAAAACTCCTCCTCAGTACATTCTCTGGTAAAATGACACACCAGACTTGTTTCAGATGCAAAATAAAGATAAAAGAGTGGAACTTACATGAAATAAAATAAACAGGCATATAGTGTACATGTACTACTGCATTGTACATGTACATTGTAAATGTGTATGTGCCATTCTGATACTCATAATGTCTTTCTATTCTCATGGCTTATGGTTTATCATGATGACTTTATGCTGTGACTTCCTAAATGTACGTTGTATTCTAAATGTGAGGAGTGACATCCTCTGAACATGGCCACCAGAACATAGTGGATGATGTCTGGAGTAGCCCTGCGTTCCGAGGATGGATGTGCGATAATATCTTTACTTTTAGGATTCTGATTTTTAATCACTTTTTATTTTGTACTTCCAGGAGATTGGCAAACATCCAGACTTAACAGATGAAGATATTGCAGCCCTCGCTGCAGCTAAAGTCACACAGAGCCAGTCACATGACCGTGCATGGTACAGAATTAACGCAACCAGAGAAATGACAGGAGGTCACAAGCTTAAGCCAACCATGAATGAACATCTGAAAGAGGTACATTTATTTTAATTTGGTTGTTCTTAATCGGTTTTACTTTGAAAGATACAAGTATGTATGCCAAATGACTGATGCCTTTGATCTTGAGCAACTGTATGTTGGTTGTATTTTCCCAAAATCGAGAGAACTATGCAGCATAACATATAGGGATAAGCAGTACAATGTAGATTTTTATGTTGATTTTGTGAAGCTACGGCCGCAGTACCCCACCATTGAGCAAATGTGACTGAGGCTTAATTGAACGATTACTCCTTTATATTTCCTTATATGATGGAAGAATGCATATGTCCAAGGAAACACTATTTCATTTCATAAGGGGAGGGGGTGTTCTGAGAGATCAAATTAATTGTTAGGGATAATTTGTAATTGCAATGGATTGTTATTCAGTTAATAGCAAGTGTTTTTCGAGTGACTTAGTACCGTACCTAAAAAACTTATATCGATATATTCATCTCTCTTATGTTTAGCTTTATGAAGATGGTGCTTTGAAAGATGAAGTTATTGGGTCTGAAATAAGTATGTCTGGAATGAGTGATATTCACCATGATGGCACCAAAGCCATAATTGAGTTCACAGCCACGACGTGTGCTATAATGGAGCGAGATGAGAGAGTCAGGATTTCAATGAGGAGATACGGAAAACTCAGTGAGAGAGTCATCTTCAAGTAAGTTATGATTTTGAACCAAGGCCCGTAGCCAGGGGGGGGGGGTTGATGGGTTGTCAAAAGTTAACCCCCCTGGAATTTTTCAAAAAGTGAACCCCTCTTGGCAAATCCTGGCTACGGGCCTGGAACCAGTCAGTTTCTGACAACGTGGTCAATTTTAATTTCAACAAAAGTTGACATAGAAAATAGGCATGTATACATTTAGATATTGAAGGAAATCAGTTTCTTCACTAAACATTTTCAATTTTGATAATGATGATCATAGATGTACATAACCTTGAGCAAGAAATATGATCTTGCTATCAATTCTCTCAAGTAACATATTCATTATGAATTTTTTATTCATAATTTGATTCAATCTGTATATTAATTCTCTCCTGTGTCTTATTCTGAGATAACAGATAATTAGAATTTAATTAGAATTGGATAACATGGGAAACCAACAAATGATATTAAACAATTGATTGAAAATATTCTTATGTAATTATTGGTAAAATGGACAATTAAGTCTTGATCCACCATTGCTTAGGTTGTCCATAAAATGGCGCACGATAAGTTCAGATCTATGAATTATCTTAGAAGCACGTGGGAATGCAGAGACAGATTTTTGAATTTAGATGTACCCTTGTTGTTGATATTCATTGGAAATAAAAAGGACTGCAAAAATGTTATCTTACAAATACCTTATCCAGCCCAAAAGAGAAAATCAATACAAAAACTATTATTTTTAGGGTGGAGACAATTGATGGAACAGCCGAGGCCCAGAAAGATTTCATTCCCGTTAAACAGACACTTGTGTTTGAACCAAGTGAGACGTCAAAATACATCGATATTGAGATTGTTGATGATAACATCTGGGAACCCGATGAGGTTTTCTTCGTCAAAATGGCTGTTGAACCGGGTCAGAATGCCATGTTGGGCAAGAAACAAGTTGTACAAGTGACGATTCTGAATGACGATGGTGGGTGCTTTATCTGTATTACCCCAAATAGATACTTAAATTATATACCCTCTCAACAGTCTTTACTCATTAAATTGGAGATATATCTTTCATATCACCTATATGATCATCAGAATGTGTAATAAGTAAATCACTCATGTTCATGTCACTGCAACAAGTGGTGGCATATTTTAATATGCTCCAATTTTTTTGTGGATGGTGTTCTGTCGTCTGGTGGTCTGCTTTCAGAGCTAAAATCTAATATCATATATTTGGGAATACTTTGGCACTCATATTTGTTCAGGATTCATGGAACTATTAAAATAGATGAGTTGTAAATCTTGTCACAACTTCATTTGAATCTGATCAATGGGATATTTTTACTTTAATATTCAACTTGTTTCAGATCCTGGCACCTTCAGTCTCTCAAGACCAAGTTACCTCTTCAAAGAAAGTGTCGGAAAAGCTTTGATTCCCGTTGAGCGAGAAAACGGTGCTGATGGACGTGTCGAGGTTACCTGGAAAACGGAAGACATGTGTGCCAAATCTGGTCATGATTACGAAGGAGGAGAGGGAACGTTGGTTTTCGAACATGGAGAGACAACGAAAATGATTGAGATTCAGATATATGATGACCAGGAAGCTGAGAAGGATGAGAATTTCAAACTTTCGCTCATTGAGGTATCACCAGGTTGTAAGATGGGACGTATACAGAGAACTATTGTTACGATTGTCAATGATGACGGTAAATCTCATTATTTATATATGTAATTTTCTTTTGCCTTCTGCATTTATCTACATATGTGCTCTCGCTACTCTGGTATTATTTGAATCTCAAATTAACACTTTTTCAGCGTTTTCATTTAAATCAGTGTAACATATATACAAAAAGGAGTATTAGGTGCCACATAATGGTATTTACAATGATTTGTGATATATTACAAGAAATGATTAAAATTGTTCATTACAGAATTCCAAGGTGTCGTCAGCCGTTTGGTAGCTAAGACAAACTTGAATCTTGACTCACTGAAAGTCGACACAACTACATGGGGTGAACAGTTCCGTAATGCAATGAACGTCAATGGCGGAGATGTCGAGAATGCGACACATCTTGATTACTTCATGCACTTTCTCACATTTGGATGGAAGGTAACTGAAATTAATTTTTTGGGTGCAATACCGTAGATACACTTATTTTGACTCTACTTAATTTGACAGATTTGCTCAATTTAAAATATTGGCTACTATTTAATTTGGTGGATTCAGATATTTTCAGATATTTTCTGTATTTCTTTTGGAATAATGTAGAATTGATGACATGTTGATGGATTTTTAATTTGTCAAATTAAAACGGGAGCCAAATTAAGTGTATCTACAGTATTTGATTTTTCTCTTAAAAGTAACTTCATTTTTATTTTTATCAAATATAGATGTTCCCTGTTAATCCTCCCTGCATTATAAGTTATTGAATGATTTGAAGTGCAATACAGGATATATTCTGCTTGAGAATTCCATATTTGAATTGTACATGTCGCACTGTCGAACATCTGTTTGTATCCTGTTAGAAGGATGACATATTTTGAGAGAAGAGGATGAATTATTTGAGAAATATGGACATATTTATTTTACCACAGCAGTATTATTATTAGGATTTAGCACCCTATTCATAAAACCTGGAGACTTTATAACTCTTTTCTTCAATGGCTTTAAAAATTAAACTCATTTCTGATTAATGCCATCCTTAAGCTATCATCCTCTTATCCAATTCTCTATTTTATTTCAGATTATATTTGCAATCGTACCTCCACCATCTATCGCTGGTGGTTACTTAGCATTCTTCATCTCCTTGGCAATGATTGGATTATTGACGGCAGTAGTCGGAGATCTCGCTAGTATCTTTGGTTGTCTAGTTGGTCTAGAGGACCCCGTCACAGCCATCACTTTCGTTGCTCTTGGAACTAGTTTACCTGATCTATTCGCCAGTAAGACTGCATCGATTCAGGAAAAACATGCAGATTTTGGCATTGGTAACATTACAGGAAGTAATTCTGTTAATGTTTTCCTTGGGCTTGGGTTGCCATGGACTATAGCAGCCATCTATTGGACGGCTCAGGTAGATATATTTTTGAAAGTGTCATTTAAATTACATTGAAAGCCAGATTTAGAAGATGCAGTATTCAAAAATGTTACAGGGATATTCCTTGTTAGACCATTTCTATCCTGATATGGTATAAACATTTCCATATTATGCAAAACATGGGAAAATGTTTTGATACAGTTAATATTGATAATTTAAAAATGTTCTCATTTCCAGTAGGCTGCCATCTTTTAAAATTTAATACAGGAAGTGATGTCATTGACCATTTAACTTTTATAGGGACTTTTATGTATTAAAACTTTTATTTAATTTTAATTAAAACTTTTATTTAATTTTTTCAGGGCAAAACCTTCAAAGTAGATGCCGGATCATTGGGTTTCAGCGTAACTGTGTTCACCTGCTGTGCCGTGGTCTGTCTAGGAATGATCATATTGCGTAGATTTGTTCCTGTATTCGGAAAAGCAGAGTTGGGTGGACCTTTTGGACCAAAAATTGCATCTGGCATATTTCTATGTTCACTTTGGCTTTTGTATATTGTCCTAGCGACATTACAAACATATAAAATCATCACTTCACCATTTTAATGGACACATTATTGTGTCATTTCATTGGCACATTATGTCGACATTTCAATGGACACAATACAAATATGAAATAGCATCACTGGACCATATCTGACACAATATTTACTGATGAACACAAAACATAGGACCATACTATGGGATACATTACACAATACTAAGGACCATACTAATGGACACATTACACAATACATAGGACCATACGTGGTGAGGATAAGAAGAAATGTTCGGGATAAGAAACAGAAGGTTGAGATGAGAAACAATTCGTTGAAATACGAAACAAACTGTTGAGATATGAAACAAACGGTTTGAGATAAGAATATGAAACAAATGGTTGAGATACGAAAAAACGGTTGAGATGAGAAACAATTGGTTGAGATACGAAACAAATGGTTAAGATGAGGAACAATTGGTTGAGATGAGAAACAAATGGTTGGCGTGAGATCCAAGAGATATTATTATGTGATATTTTTTGCAATATTATACTGAGAAACAATCTGAGTTTTTAAATTACATTTACAATATAAAGATTTCAATTGACATGTTTTCCTATTTCTTTTTCAAAAAGCATCTTGCCTTTTCTATCGTGATCTTGAGCCGCTACAGCTGATATTACTCATTAAAGTCAACATGTTTTTTTTTTATTAAGACTTTGTCAAGACTGAAATATTTTTAATATTTATCTGTGGTTTTCCACATTACTTGTTTTATAAAGTTAACTTTTTTATATTGGAGTTACAATTTATTATTATCTCCCTCAATATATATATGTGTTAAAGGGTCTCCATTTTGTATGACCCTGGTTTAACAATAGACTGATAACGATGCCCTTTAATGATTGGTAACTGCTAGGCTGCCATTGTCCAAGATTGAGATTAACCTTTAACTATATGTTCTTTTTCCTTCTACAGTTTCTCTATGTATTCTCTATGTAGTAGTAGGTTAGAACATTATATGGTGTCAGATGTCATATATATTTTTGGACATGTTCAAATGCAGGGGTGATGGGATGGGTAATGTATATGGGTACACCATGATTTTGACTTGCTTCCTGTCATTTTTAAGAAAACATTGTGGAGCAGTTAGAAATATTCACATTTTGGATATTCTGTTGACATGAGAGTTTAATGAATAAAACAAAATATGACATTTTGAGGTGTCCTCATTTTCAATAAAATCCACACTAAAACACACTCGTTTAAGCATTTGAATATATCTGAACTTATATTACAGTCCTGGTGCATTATTCACAGGGTGCCCCATAATTCTTGTGATCACCCTGTTTATAAATATTCCAGCAATTCTGGGACACTCTGTATGTATATATTTATTATTCAATGGTGCAGCACTTTGTAAACAACTAGATATACACAAAACGTAGATAGGTAAATTCTTGAACAAAAGAAATCCAACATTTGTGTATCATAGTGTATATTCAACCAAAATAATGTAAATATAATGTACATTTTATTTTTAATACTTCAGCAATCGATCAACTCTAAATCCAGAGTTTTTAAAATCTTATGATTAGAAATCGTGTATTTTGCACTAGAAATCACATAGCTTTTTATGTAAAAAACAGCTGAATTTAATGTTATATATACCGTGCAATGTTATGTATATATAAACTTTATATTATTCATATATTTGTTACTAAATGTACATATTTAGAGCATTTTTGTTAAAAAACTATCCAGTTAAGATATGGTTTATATCTGTGAATTTCAATATTATAATGTTAATTGTCAGTTTTTGACAATTTGCCTATTTTATATTAGTTTATACACTCAGTTTGGTCATATGAAAAAATGTGGTCTTCAACATCTTGATCTTAAAATGGAATTCCTTTTTCAGAATAACTTATTTAGATTATTCCAAAATACCCTTCAGTGCCTTATTTTAAAGTGTTTAATTTTCAATATTCGTCATCTAAAAAACTAAACAGCTTAAACTGGAAAAAGTATATTAGTCTATAATCTACACCGCATAATTTCTATTTACGATACTAATATGATATATTCCATATATACATGTATATGGAACAATTTTTATGCATAGAAATCTCATGGCTTGGTTCCCCTATATATACTATACATTATACATGTTAAGTACTATACATTATACATGTTAAGTACTGTACTTATACCAATATTTATACATATGTTTACATGCATTATGCAGTCTTTATAAAAGGCCTTTCTGTACCTCTGTCATTCTCCATAGAAACTTGGAGATGGGAGGGGGTTGAAGGCTCATATACTGAATTCACAAAATCAAATCATCCATATTGTTAAATTGTAACAAATACGGGGGTATAGCATATAGCTAGAATCCAAATAGGCTATAGGTGGGGCAAACTTAAGCCAAAAAAGATATTGTACTTCTATTTAAACAACTTTTCAACATTTTCATAATTTTAGTTGATAAAGCATCTGTTTGATTTTATAAAAGCACTTCCCTAACCTGCCTACATCCGTGAAATGTATAAACACTACGCATGCATGCTTTATTGATGGTTCGAGCTTTGCTTCATAGCATTTATATTTCACACAATAAGTACTATATCTAGTATGTGTACAGTGGCCAAGTTAATTGGAAAATACTGAATTTATTTTTTGGGCATTTCTAGTAATTATTTTAGACTATTTATTTTACAACTTGTAAATTCTACTCATTTATGAGTGTTTTATTTGTAGAAAAACACATGGCATTTTCTCATTTGGGTCTCGGTAAGATATTAATAATAGAAAATGTCTAATAGAAATGCATGTAGATTACCAGGCTATGTTCTTCAAACTGATATTTTATTAGAAATAAAACAATAAAGTATTCATTTCTTTAAACAGTGTTATATATTATATTTATTTATTATAAACATGTTAATATAGGTGGAGCAAAAGTATGAGGATCAGGCATAAGTGCTGACATTTTTGAAAGTTGTTGAAAATGAAGTTGATTTTATTGAAGTTTACCCACTTTCTCTCTCACATACATGTACATATGGTCATCTGCTTTTCACTAGAACTCATAAGGCAAATATTCTTCATCAAGGAGGATTGGAAGCCGTTATTCAAACTCGATACTCCATTGTCCGACATGGACCAATTTGGTAACAATATTACTCATATTTTGAAGTTCAGTTCAGTGTCTTTATTTCCTCCACATAGGTGAAGATTTAATCAAGACTTAAGATTGATCAGTTTTAATTTTATTACGTTATCTATAACTGTTAACAGTTATCTAACATTTCTTTTATAATGACTATCGCAAGAACTCGTCGTTAGGCCTACTATGAAGAAAACCGCATTTTTATAGCTGCAAGTTGGGAAAACCTATTTCAGTTGTCCTTTAATGAAATACCTGGTTCAAAGAGCATTTTATAGAATTTTTTAATTGTTTTTAATTGTTTTTTAAATTGTTACACGTCAGGCAATGGAGTATCGAGTTTGAATAATGGCTGCCAATCCTCCCTGACTCTTAATTGATGAAATCATTGATTAATTATTCAAAAAAAAAGTTGGAGACCATAAAAAATGAACAATTTATAACAATATACAAATAAACAATTGCTCCAATAAACAATACTACAATATATGTATAAAAACAAAAAGCAAGCCAAAGATGCTTCAATGGAACTGACTCGACAGTCAGTTTACAGTAACTTACTCATTTAGGAAATTCTTATTAATCTTTTTTTTAACTTTAAATTTAACTAAATTAGTTGAATTATATTCATCTAATATCATAAAATAAAAAAAAGGACTACATACATTACACAGACATATTTTAAAAATGATTTTATTTTGCTTCAACACAAAAAAGTAGAAAAATTGAACTATTCAGCAGTTCGAGTTCAGCAGTAATACATGGTAAAAAACGAGTCCAGAATATGAGCCAGGACCAATTTTGTAAATTATAAGTATCAAGACCAATGGTAGCCAATTTAGGAGAATCATCAGCCATTTAACAGCTGAGAATCCAATGCGAAACAAGCAGATTGAAACATGAATCTCATCATGTTCCCATTATTTGAGTAACATAGTAACTGAAGTTGTATGACCAATCGATCATTCTAATAATAAACAAAATGTTGTCGATTACATGCTCTCTAAAGCATTAATGCACTAAAAATTTAAAGAACTTTTAAAGTGTGTACTAATTGTCTGAATCCATACTCCTTGTAAATGACACTCTTTTTATTTTGAGTTTAAAAAACGGCCATCAAGTGTTTTTCAATGGACTTCACCAGTTTATCCAATTGCAAATGCCTTCTTTTAACAAGTCTATAGCGCGATGATGTTGAAATAGTATGACTCCAAAGCAGATGACATTTTCCAACCACCTGCATTAAGTTCAATGATATTTAACAAAATATCTCGAGTTTTTGTGTTAGTTTTTTGACTGAGAAATGATTCTCGTAGAATCACCATCAGTTTTTGCATTCTCTGTGGAGAGTCTTTGGAAAGGTTGTATCCAATGGAGGTTAGAATAGTCCATAATGCAACAGCCTGGAAATGAAAATAAGGTTATGATTATATTGATATCAACCAATCAAAATTACTGATTTTTAAATTTTCAAGGCAAAAATCATTGACTTTCCAACTAATATGTCAAATCTAACCCATAAGTTACGATAATATCCAAAAACTTAATATTTTGTCCTTTGACAGGGGACGGACCTGACATAAAAACAATAGACTAACAAGTAAAGCGTCATGTCCAATTGTCAACATAGTTGTGGAAAACAAAGAAAACGATGGAAAATATGTAATTTCTTCAGGTAGGAGGAGGTACCGCAAATAAAGATTTTGTTATTAAAAAATAATTTCATAATATACTAATTTCTTGCTAAAAAGGCAAAGCAAGCAAGGAGAAGAGGAAGATTTTGTATCTATTTTCAAAATGAAATCAAGTAGTTAAATCTTTTCACAATTTCAACATTTGTACACTATCCCTAAGTCAGTGAGTCATACCTCTTTAGAGTTGTGTATACAGGGTGGTTTAGCTAGGTCTTCTAAGCAGTCGTATAAAATATTTGTTATCGTTGTTAATCCAGACCCAGTTGAATCTTTAACCAAGTCAAATAAGCCAGCTTGGAATTGCACAAATGAAACCCAATAGTCAATGTTGGTTGCCCGCATCTCCTCTCTGTCATCATAAAGTAGAGTTAACTGGTGGATTAGGCCATTACGGAAAGCATATGTGGGGATGACATCATGTTTCTCAGCTTGGAATTCTTTCTGAAGAAAAAAAGTAATGTGAAGTTAGCATTGAAGATGACAAGATTTATGGAAAAAATTCTAAAAAAGATGGCCACCCAAAAATTAAACAGCCAATAGAACTTGGTAATCTGTAACATCATAATTTCCACATATCTGATCAATGATTTTCCATAAATTGTGATTCATCAAAAATATCTAAAATTGCTAAATCACAATCACATGCATATATATTTCGAAAGTAAAGTAATATAAAGGCACACTTCCACATCAAATCCAGCACACAACTATTATATATGTATGAGAACTTATTGCATTTAATTTCTTTAAATATAGTCTAGCTACAAACCTTTGTGTCCCCCACTACACACCCCCTTAAGCCTTTGTGCTCCCCACAGGCCACTTAAACATCCCTACTGTGTGAGAAATTTTCATACCTGTGAAGTCAACTAGTGGAAGGGGGGGGGGGGGTCACAGGGGCTTGCAGCTAGACTATTTCAATAGAACTTACCTCACAAATCTGACTACATATTTTTGCAGCTGTTCCATTGTATCCTTTGTCTTCCCAGGCTCTGTTGACAATAGTGTTAGCAACCTCGATAAGAATAACTCTTCCAACGCTCTTTGGGTCTGCAACATACATGATATTCTAGGATGTTAGGCTTTCATACATTATCTTTTACCATAGGCTACAGATGCAGTGTTTGAAATGTCAATAAATGATATAGTTACACTGGCAGCACCATGCCCTCCCTTTTTGTGGGCCCATTTTTTGTAGGGCCTCAAAAATGGGCTTTTTTGCATAATTTGGTCTTTTTAGGCCAAATCATAAAAAAATTGGCCTTAAATTTTCAGAATATGGGCCCAATTATTTGGTTTTAGGGGCTCAACATTTTTTGGAACATTTTTTCATGACCCAAAATTTGGGCTTAGCTTCAGGATCCACCAGTGCAGTAGTATCACTATTCTCACATTATTTGGATCTGTAATCTAAATGATGTCCCAGAAACTTAACACCATTCAATATCACATCAAAGTATTTCATGTTCTCATCTGAAATACAAATATTCAATTCTATCAACAATACCTGTGAATATTTCACAAGGGATATTCAAAAAGACTGACAATTCCTGGGAAAAATGAATATCGCTAAATATTTGTGGGTTGTCTTCTTTGATAAGCAGAGTCAGTGTATTTTGTCTAATCTTTCATAACATGGTTTTAACAAATGATGCAATTGCAAGCTTGAAATTGATAAAATAATGATAAATGTTTTGCACTTATTTCTGCAATGACCTTGATTTGTATATGTAAAAGTAAGTTGGAAATAAATCAATTTTTAAGAGACTGCAACTATATAAACCACCCAGTAAATCTCTATTAGCAATGTTTTGATCTCATTATACAGATTTAATCTTACAAGTACTCTGTTCATCAGATCTAGTGTTCAAAGAGTGTTCAAAAGGTTTTTAAGTTGGGAACATTTTTTTTATATATTTTTATATATTATAAATCTTATGGGAGGTAAAATTCATTTGATATGATTGAGAACACATCTGCAGACCAATTGTGCAATTGCAATTTTAAGAAGATAATACTTAATCAAGGGTATTTTCTATAAAACACTAAACATAAGGAAACATTGTTTACTCACAGAACCTTCCATAATAATATATTCACAATATAGCACTCAAAGGGTTTGAATTGTTTTAATGCTTATCAGATTGAAACAGTATTAGTCTCTAATATTTTTTTTAGATAAAACTTGTATGTGTAGAGTGGTGAGAGAGATCAAAGTATCATTTGGTGAAATTAAAGAATACCATATTGGGTTTGGGCTAGCAAAAAAAGCAACATTTTGATTTTCTAAAATGTTTCAGGGTTCACTTTTTCAGGTACTCCTCAAATCCTGAAAATCAGCATTTTAAAATATCTAACAGATACAATATATCATATGTATATTTTCTCTTTTTATTATTCTTAAATATTATATTTATGTATGTACATATACTTTTTAAATATGCTATATTACAACTATATCACAATCTTACATTATTTACAAACAACCTTTAATACATGTACTGTTGTACATCACATGCCATTTTTATTGCTAGTATTTAAACATCGCATTATTCACAAAATATCCTTTAAATATTTGTATCTGTTGTGTCCAATTCATTTTGACCGTTGTCAAAAATTCAAACAAAACCTCAGTATGATGTTACAACTGATACACTTGCAATTCAATAATCTCCACAGGATTTTTTCTGAAGTGGGTGCAAAATTCTCATTCTCTCAATCCAGACAAAAATTGGTCAAAATATGCCCATTTTTCATGATATTTCTCATTTTTAAGTGTGTGCAAATTGATTTTCGGGTGGGTGCAAGCCTATTTTCAAAATTTCACGTGGGTGCTGCACCCACTTGCTTTTTAATGCTGGGGAGATCACTGCAAGTGATGCAATGTTTTATACTAGCAACAAAAGAGTAGTATCACCTCTGAACAAATTCCTAACAAACAACTTAGGACAAGGCTTAACATCTGTACTTTCATCAAGACATTTCATAAGTAAAACTATAATTCACAATCTGTTTCAGAAATAGTTAACTTAGATTTCAAGAGGTAGCCAAAACTAAGCAAGTAATACAGCATGCACAAACTTTTTTTTATACAAAACACATGTTCCAATACTGAAAAAGCAGAGTGGTGGTTGGCTGTATAACAGTAATCAAAACAAGGCATTAACATGCAAAATGTCATCAACTTCCATTTGTTACAGACACCAACCACCTTTCACAAAAAAGTTGCAGACTGTTACCACTTCTGGAGGTGAGATAACAAGTGAGAAAGCAAATATTGAAAAGGGTATTTTGATGACATCCCCTCCATATTCAAGCAAATTCTCACTGAAGTGATATTTTCAATGTTTGAATGAATTGCATCATATAAAGGCTCCATAGGCCAATTTATTACACCTGTCAATTGCCTGAGTTAGTTGAGCAGATTCTGCAATATATGGACAAAACACACTGGACAAATTAATGTGTCCAATCAAATTGCATAAAAACATGATCAGGAACAGAATTGTAGAAGTGTCATTTGCCTGAGGTATTGAGCGGTTCTTGAGATTCAAATGTTCATATGCTCTTAATAATGAAGTGTCTCGTGTTCTGGCATTACTATTCAACTTGAGCATGTGTCCACCCTTGTTGAATTTCAATATATTGAAGCATTACTTCTGCTGTAATTGCCAAGGATACTGTAAGCCATTGTTTCTATATTGCAAACTTGTCACATGACTTCTCTAACACTGAAAAAGCAAGATGCATAAAGGTTGACATTTGGTTGATTAAAATATATTACAATACATGTATATTATTGCTAACATGCTTTTAAGAATATCTAAGTGCAAGAGTCAATGGGAAAACTCAAAGAACTTACAGAACCCAACAAGAAAAAGAAAACATCTAAAAGTGCACCAGTCTTAAGGAAATCAAATCCCAAGTATCCCAATTATCCCAAATCACAATCAATTCATGAAATATTATATTCGATCTTTGGGTGCTGAGTCAAAAAACCTGCATCTATAAAAATGTACCACTACTTGAAACATAAGCACTTACAAATTATAATAATACCTGAAGATAACTATGAAAATAACAGCTGTGTCATGAAACAAAGTAGGTTTTTACCACTCCCAAAATATAAATTTTATTTAAATCAATCAATATCAGGTAGCCTCTCAATCATACATTTGAAATTACTTTTATTGAGTAAAATACTGTGGAGACAAGAGAAAAACCTAGCTGTTAAAAAGCAAGAAAACAACTTACCTCTTCTTTGTTCTCTGCAGTTTCATCTTTAGCTTCTGCTGATTCCTTAACTTCTTCTTTTACATCCTCCTCAACTTCTTCTTTAACTTCTTCCTTAACTTCTTCTTTAACTTCTTCCTTGACTTCTTCCTTAACCTCTTCCTTAACTTCTTCTTTGACTTCTTCCTTGACTTCTTCTTTAATATCTTCCTTGACTTCTTCTTTAACTTCTTCTTTAACTTCCTCTTTAACTTCTTCTTTAACTTCTTCCTTGACTTCTTCCTTAACCTCTTCTTTGACTTCTTTAACTTCTTCTTTACACTCTTCTTTTACTTCAGTTTTTGTCTCAGTTTTACCTGCTTGTTCATTTGGTTTATCACAAGTCTTATTATCATTAACATCCAATTTTGTTGGTGCATTCTCTTGTTTGGTACTACTTGGCTCAGCTCCTTCACTTTTACTGCTTCCACAACCCATGCTTAATTTCTCAGTTTGTTCTTAACGTAAAAACAAAGCTTCTGTTTTTAAATTAAAGCCACAATTGTCACCGTATGCTGAGGTATGTATTGTTTCTGTTACTTATAATCAACAAATAATGTTTCATTAAGAAAATATTCCTTATCTCTATTTCTGTAGACCTTCCTAGTGTACATTGAACTCAAGAATAAAGTTTCCAGTGAGTATGTTCTTTATTTGCCTATTGTCATAATAACAGGTTGACAAGAGGGATATCACCACAACAGTTAAAGCTGGATTAGCTTCAATATATAGCAATATAAGTGGCTTATAACCTATGTTTATCCACTCTTCATGGGCAAGCCAAATCAACATTATTTTCCCTTAAATATAACTAAAAACCTATTCTTTAATTTCACAAAAATATCAAATTTCTATAATTCAGAAGGAATATTGTGTTCATGCCTGTTTATTTTGTTTTGTTTTGTTTATATAATTTTATTAATATATGGATTAATCAATACAATTTATCTTTTTTTCTTTTTTCAATATACTTTATTTTATTTACAGGTGGGCTATTTCTATTATTTCACCAAAGACTAAATGGTGTTTCCCAAATCTTGCCAATCAGCTTCAAAGAGTAACTCTTACAAGGTATCACCCTACATAAAATGAAAAGATGCCTATTGGAAAAATGATAAGTGTGTTTAATGATTATTCTTAAACTTACCGGGGAAACAGCAGAAAATTAACAAAAACATTTCAAGTTTCAAAAAGTGTCACAATATAAAGTATATGTAAAATAATTGGGAGGGCATTGCAATATTACCTAAGGGTAATAAGAATATTAAAATATAATTGCAATACATAGTAACATGGTAAGACTTAATTGAAACTTAACTCTTAAGAGCCATCAAGCTGTAATAATTTTATCATTAGTAGAATTTTGATTTTATTTGAACTGTAAACCTGTAAATGTGCTAAAAATTATCTCAATTTAAAGTTTCCTGTACCATTTAAACTGTATTGATTCTTTGTGAGAAAAAACTCTTTTTTATTCCAGCACATACTATGCTCTACAGTACTTAAACATGTCATTTTTAATCACAGTATTTGTGTATATTTGGTTACCTTGTTTCTCAAATATCATTACCAAGTGTAACCTTTATGGGTATTTCAACTCAATTTCTGTAAGAACTAGCATATATAACATTAATTCTGATTGGATTTTCATTTATTCTGGATCATTCATATGTTTTTTTTATAACATAGTAGTATGTAAGCACAAAGAGCAATATAAATCATAGCAGGCAAAAGAAACATCTGAAAGAGTAACCAGTCATAAGGAAAGCAAACCCCCTAATCCCTTATAATAATGATTTAACATACAGAGAAACCTGCTAAGTGGAACACCTGAAAAAGTGAAACACTTCTGTTGGCGGACACTTTTTTTAGAGTCCCATAGCTAAGTGACTTTATGTCAAAGAAACCTCTATAAGTCAAACATTTTTTAGAGGTGCCAAGGTGTTCCACTTAGACAGGTTTTACTGTACAGAGCAACAGTGTCTAACTCCCCTCCTAAGATATCCAGGAACCAACCAATATATGTATTACTCATGTCCAATAAGCTGTGTTTATTTCCTCATATGTAGACTCCTCTGAGACATTTGGAACTCCAGCCTCATCATTATAATAGATAGCACTATCATCTTGTCTATCCTCTGGTTGTGCTATTTCTCCATTGTGAGCTGCATTAGCATCATTATAATATATAGTATTATCATCTTGTTTAATGATATGTGTATAGTACTCCTCTTGCTTCACAGCTACTCCTGTTTGAATCTTGTAGTAAACATTTTCAAAATCCTCTTCATCCTGTTGGATGTTTCTTGGTGTAGTTGATGAATACATTGCACTTTTGTTGGATCTCTCTTTGAGTCCAGTTTTGGCACTTAAGTCCTTTATGAAGGCAGCATTCCCATAGATTGTGTCACTGTTTGATTGCATATCTTCCATTTCTTTTGGTCTAGAACTAAAACAAAATATAGAGCATGTAAATGACACATGACAAAACACAACTACTTTACTTTTAATGATTAGAAATACCATGCTTTTACCATATATCATTTCAGTAGTCAGTATATAATGTATATCCTTGAGAAATCCTTGATTTATATAGCCAAATTAAATATGCTTCATAGACTGACTTAGGCAGATCCATGTGAAATAAATACAGAACATTCATTCTCACAATCCACAAAATGTAATAAGTAAGGCTTACTTTTTCTTCCTTTTCCTCTTGATAAGAAACACTATCAGTGGCAAAATCATAACAAGAAACATCCCCCCTAATACTGATGGCACAACTATGGCTGAAATTAAATGAAAAGTAATATACAGAAAACTAACTAGATAACGGCAACTCCGCGGAGTAGCAAATCCCAACGAACAAAATAACAATTACCGAATTCCAATCAATTATACTCATTACTTTGGTTAAAATTGAAAAATTTAGATTTTAGAATTGCGAATTCCTGCAAAGCAGCCATTTTGAATTTTCTGAGGTACAAATCTGAAATATAATACCATAATTGTGATCTACTCTAAAATTCCTTCAATTTGAGTATAATATAGCCATACTTTGAAGGGATCGAAAAATTATTGCGAAATCGTACATTAGACGGCCATTTTGAATTTTACGAGGCTCGAATCAGAAAAAAGATACAATATTTGCAATCTACTCTTAATTGCCTTTAATTTGAGTATAATAAAGCTATACTTCAGAAAGATCTAAAAATAAGCGAAAATTTCTGTTTTCCTGACCCCCCATATACGGCCCCTGGGGGTCAGGATGAAAAACACGGAATATAAAATTTCAAATAATAATATTAATTACTTTGGTTTAGAATGAAAAATTTATGATTTTTGCGAAAAAGTCCCGTCATTTTTAAAGCGGCGGCCATCTTGAAAAAAAATATACATCTGTCCACTAAATATGAAGAAAATGCGCCAACTAATATTTGAGTTATCTTCCGGACGGACAGACGGACGGACTGACGGACTGACTGACGGACGGACAGAGGGCTTCACTATATCCCTACCGAACTTCGTTCGTTGGGATAATAAATCATAAACAAGGCACAGACGTGAACAATATCGTACCTAAAACACAGCATTGTGGTCTTGTTGACCAAGAAAGCAAGATGGCCGCAGAAAAGTTAATCAGCTCTAGAACTTATCACTGTGTAACATATGTAAAAATTTGAACGATTTGGCTGGAAACCTGTAGACAAGTCTTGAAAGTGAAGATTTTAGGACAGAAAATCCAAAATGGCCACCTTAAAATTTAACCAGAATGCCCAAAAACCAATCAGTTCTTGACATTGATATGTAGAAACATCCCTGAAAATTTCAGATGAATCCCTCAAAAGGTTTGGCTGGAAACCTGTAGACAAGTCTTGAAAGTAAAGATTTTAGGATGGAAAATCCAAAATGGCCACCTTAAAATTTACCCAGAATGCCCAAAAACTAATCAGTTCTTGATGCTGATATGTAGAAACATCCCTGAAAATTTCAGATGAATCCCTCAAATGGTTTGGCTGAAAACCTGTAGACAAGTCTTGAAAGTGAAGATTTTAGGACGGAAAATCCAAAATGGCCACCTTAAAATTTACCAAGAATGCCCAAAAAGTAATCAGTTCTTGACGTTGATATGTAGAAACATCCCTGAAAATTTCAGATGAATCCCTCAAATGGTTTGGCTGGAAACCTGTAGACAAGCTGAAAAGTGAGACGCCGCCCGCCCGCCCGCCCGTCAAGCTGACTACAATATCGTACCTTTTGTGAGGTACAATAAAAATCAAATGTGTTTGAAAAGTCTATAGATTTATATATCCTCGTGATATCTTTATGGACTAGACCAAACAGTATCACAAAGCACAGTGAAAAAGAAAGTCATGAGGAAGACAAACATCCTAATAACAAATATTTACAAATGGTGACTCGTTAGATTTATTATCTTATTAAATCACTATAATTAAACTGTACCTGCTACAGGCGTCTGGTGGTGGTCTTCAAATGTTCCTTCTTTGTTATGTGAACTGTCTGTTATGCTCATTCTAGTGCTTCTTGTTGAAAAGAATATATCCCTAGAAAATGTTTGAAGACTTGAAGTGGACTGTTCTGTTGTGACACTTTCAGATGAAGATTTGGTCAATTGTGATGATGTTGATTGTATTGTTGTTTTTAAGGTTGTTCCAAACTGTGTTGTTGAAAGTTTTGGATCATATGTACATTCATAAAACACCCATTCATAATTGTAATGCATCCACAAAAACAACCATCGTCTTGTTAGAGAGGATTGAAATGAACACTCCTCAAGGCCATTACAGAAGTCTGATATATAGTTTAGCCTTTTCTCATTTACATAATAATGTAATACATCTCCATAACATGGAAAAGCTTTCCCGTGGAGTACTGATGATATTTTAATAGAATAATTTTCATCACACTCTAAAGTCATATTTTGTCCCACGCATTGTCTAGTAGACAGGAGGCAGTCATAACAAACTTCCTCATAATGAATACAAATCAAACAGCTTCTGCATGTTGGTTTTGCATTTAGATTGCACATGGATTTCCAATTACAATTTACTAATTCTTGTCTCCAGTCACTCTTTTGGATTGTTTTATTGCATCGAAAAGAAAACGTATGACCATAATGAATGACCTTTGTCATGAAAATGGTTCTACCTTGATCACATTCCAAATTTAGTTCTAAACCATGCGGTTTATTCACACATACTGAAACGAAAAAAATTATTCAGTTTTTAAATCTTACAATATTTACACGAGAGTCGATTTCAAATTTTTCTTTGACATGTCGACATTTTCATTATCACTGTCACAAATCCGTGAATCATTTATCACAAATTATTATGAACAAAACAGTTAATAAACAAAACTTACGACTATGACACATAGGTTGCCAAATCAGGAATATCACAACAATATTGTAGTACATACACTGCACAGCCATCTTGTTGTATGGTGTGACTGTACAGATCTCACAGATTTTCCTCACTGTTAACTCACTGAGTGATCATACTAAATGTATGCCAAAAATATGCCATTTTGTCTGATATTGTTAAAAATGAATAAAGAAAACATGATTATCTTATGTTGCTTTATTTCCTGTGCATCGTGACACATCAATTATAACTTCCTTATAATACTCAGGTTACACATTTATATGATACCTAAATAAGAAACCGAGATTCATTATTTTCTGTGGATCATACATCTACAGGATAGAGAAGTACGCCTTTATCAAAGCACATGACTAATACTTCTATTTGATATTAACATATTGGCATTAACATGACAAAATGTCACCATCTTGTTGCTCAAAATATAATGAGTTCAATCTTAGTCAAATTTGAATTTCTTAGACCTTGTAAGTGATTTTGAAAAAATAAATTGGTCAATTTGAAGCAAGTTGTAAAAAGATCTTCGTTGACCCTGAGAAGGTCATTGAAGGTGGAATCTCAAATCTAAAGTCAGATTTGAACTTCTGAGAACTTGTTTATGATTTTGAAAAAATTGGTCAATTTGAAGCAAGATGAAAAAAAAACCTTTTTGACCTTGAGAATGTCATTGAAGGTCAAATCTACAGTCAGATTTGAACTGTTGCTCAAAATATAATGAGTTCAATCTTAGTCAGATTTGAATTTCTTAGACCTTGTAGATGATTTTGAAAAAAAAATTGTTCAATTTGAAGCAAGTTGAAAAAATACCTTTTGACCTTTTTTGACCTTGAGAATGTCATTGAAGGTCAAATTTTAAATGTAAAGTCAGATTTGAACTTCTGATAACTTGTAGATGATTTTGAAAAAAGAAATTGCTCAATTTGAAGCAAGTTGAAAAAAGACCTTTTTGACCTTTTTTGACCTTGAGAAGGTCATTTAATGTCAAATCTCAAATCTAAAGGCAGATTTTAACTTCTGATAACTTGTATATTGTAGTTGATTTTGAAAAAAATGTTGGATTTGTGTGATAAATTGCATAAAGCCATGCTGTTTATCAAGACCCAGGAAAGGTTTCCTCATATTAATGAGAAATGCAAGAGAAGAGAAGGTCATTGAAGGTCAAATCTCAAATCTAAAGTCAGATTTGAACTTCTGATAACTAGTAAATGATTTTGAAAAAAGAAATTGGTCCATTTGATGCAAGTTGAAAAAAGACCTTCTTGACCTTTTTTGACCTTGAGAAGGTCAAATCTCAAATCTAAAGTCAGATTTGAACTTCTGATAACTTGTAGATGATTTTGAAGAAAAATTGGTCAATTTGAAACAAGCTGAAAAAATACCTTTTTGACCTTTTTTGACCTTGAGAAATCTCAAATCTAAAGTCAGATTTGAACTTACGATAACTTGTAGTTGATTTTGAAAAATGAATTGGTCAATTTGAAGCAAGTGAAAAATACCTTTTTGACCTTTAACTGACCTTGGGAAGGTCATTGAAGGTCAAATCTCAAATCTAGAGTCAGATTTGACTTGATAACTTGTAGATGATGTTGAAAAAAGAATTGGTTAATTTGAAGCAAGTTGAAAAAATACCTTTTTTGACTTTTTTTGACCTTGAGAAGGTCATTGAAGGTCAAATCTCAAATCTAAAGTCAGATTTGCACTTTTGATAACTTGTAGATGATTTGAAAAAAGAAATTGGTCAATTTGAAGCAAGTTGAATTCAGACCTTTTGACCTTGAAAAGATCATTAAAGGTCAAATCTTAAATATGACGTTATGATTTGTTTCCTTTGTAGCAGACATGTCTATGAAAAAATACTTTTGTGGTAATAAAATCAAATTTTGCTTGTGCAAGGAATTTCAATTGAAATTATGATTGTAATTTCAAAAGAAATTTTGCTTGTAAATTGATTTTTAAATAAAATTGTGCTTAAAGGGTGCTAATGCTCAAGGTCGTTAAAACAACACCTATAACTGTTATATAGCATTACTATATAATAAATCGTCACACATTTACAAAACAGCTCTAATACAAGGATTCATATATGCTGTTCTACATGAGGTCTTTGAACAATCACTCTCTCAATAATGTTTTCAGAATCATTATAAACAGATTACTTTTCTCCAAGACAATTTCATAATGACTCAAGAAAGAATAATTTTACTGTCATCTTCCTCATGATGTATAACAACAGTAGTTATGAAATAAATTAGCAAACAGAAAAAATTTTAGTTAGAAATACGTTTTTTCTAGCTTAACAGCTAAGTTACATGACACTACATGGCTCCAGTAGATAAATGATATTATAGGAATATCCTATGGTTTTGAAAAAATATCATTTTTATCCATGAGTGGATATTGATATCTTCATGAGTGTGCGCAGCGAATGAGTGAAGATATTTGTATCCATGAGTGGATATAATTGATATTTTTGAAAAACCATAGGATTGTCCGTTTATCCCATGAGAAATCATGAGCGAAAAAAGTTGAAAAATATAATTTGAGAAAAAAATTGAAAAAATAATTGAAAAAAATTGTGAAAAAATGTTGAATTTTTTTTGGAAATTTTGAAATTTGGTTAAAATATTTTTGAAAATAATTAAAAAATGTAAAAAGAATTTTTTTTGAAAGAATTCGAAACCATCGAATATCACTTTTCAAACCATCGAATATCACTTCTCAAACCATCGAATATCACTTTTTAAGACGTGATATTCGATAGTTTAAAAGTGATATTCGATGGTTTGTGAATTTTTGCTAAAATATAATATCTTGATCCACATATCAAATATATCTTCTTGTGATATTCAATCTATATCCTTGCAACCATGGGATAAGTGCATGTATCTATATTTCTTAGCTTTGCTCGATGCAACAGAACAACAATATCGATTATAAGGAAGTGAGCTTGCCACTTTCATTTATTACAAAAAATAGTCTCTGTAACAGCATGGTATTTTGAACATGGTGAATACAAGTCACATTAAGTACAAAACGCAAGTAACGATACTGGAGATCTAAATGTACAATGACATGACCCCCTTAATAGCATGAAAAAGCTAGATCTGAGTGAGATCGTTAAGACTTAACAAAGAAATATTAATTAACATTTATCGAAATTGATTGTTTTGTGGCGGCTTTTTCAAACTTCAAAGTCGCATTATTTAGCTTGAGAGCTGTCAATTCGAGGCTCAGTTTCAAATCTAAAAGAATCTGGGAAGGAATATTCTATACAATTTAATAAATCAAACTAACTTACCCTCTAGTGCTTGAAGAATGTAAGGCTGTGCTTCAGGAATATATGACTCTAGGTCTATTTCACTAAGCGTAAGCTCAAATTGACGGCCTTTAGTCATCTTTAAGTCTGTATTGCCTAATTCTTTTAAATATCTGAAAAAAAATAGTATAACAAAACTTATTATTACCACCTTGCCTGGCCAGTTCTAGGGGTTTTAGTGCTAGTTTAGAAGGCATTCATTTTACCGTATCGACCTGAGCAATATGTGACGTCATAGTGGCGGTCAATAATGTGGTCAATAATGCAATTAATGACCTGTAATTTTCCCTGGGAAATTAGATATCGTTCAGTGTGTACGATTTTCTTTCTATTTCAGCCCTGGTCATTAACGGTGGTAATAATACTAATAACGTCATTTCTGCAGGGGCCTTTGGCCCTCTGTCCAATATTTCACTATATTGCCCTTCGAAATGACGTTATTGTACTATTATTATTTTTGTTATACCCTACATGTTTTGATATTCTAATACACTGAATGAACCTCATTAAGAATACAATACCAAGCACATTTAAAAGTCTCTGAACTTCTACTACACAATACTTATTGAGCAATGTAAAGTCTTTAAGATTATTTTTACTTGGATTATCAACCAAAAAATGTCTAGGTTATTTTTCATACTTGTAACTTCTTTTTGGTGCATAAATACAGAAAGGCTTTGGGTCAAATGACTTTTTGCCCTCATACAATATCTATTGATGGTTCATATTATTACTCATTATACATGAACTTGTCCTCTAAGTAACTTACTTTTTCAATCTTTGGTTTACTTTTTGTTCATGGTGTAAATATTTTCTATCCGTATTTGCTCTTGAGGTTAATTGTATTTGATTGCTATATACAGTTCCCTTGGTTACAGCTGAAAGACAAACATAGTACATTGAACTAAAATGATGTATTGAATATATTTAGATTTGATATACATACAAACATATGAATACACTAGGGGATTATATCATTCTTGATATGTTGCTTTTTCTAATTCTCTTGATATTGTAGTTCAGCTTTTAAGCAAAAATCTTGGTATTGGGAATATGCAAATCATGTACACGGACATGTTTTATAATTAATTTATCTTTTCATTTAATTACCTTTTAGTTGACAATTTAAGAAAACAATAATTTGTATATACCTGTTGCAATGTATAAAAATATGTATTTAAAATATACAGAAATACATTAACATTATGACAACAGTTTAGACCATACAGTGTATAGTCAGTGGCCACTGGCCACTAAGAAAAAGAAAGTGTGATTAAGAAATATGTGTATTCATAAACAATCACTTGTTTCAAACAATAACATCAACACTCGAAATCTATATTCCAGGACTATCAGTCAATTCAAGCATCATACATGTTTTATTATGCAGGGGTTTTACTAGAATTTCTCACAACAGGCTAAATAAATGAAAACAACAGGCAGAATTAATGGAAATCATTAATTTAACAGGGAAAAGTTGAAAAGTTTTTTAGAAAAACAGGTGATTTTATGAAAACAACTGGTGAAAATCACCTGTAGCCTGCTGCTAATGAAACCCCTGTTATGTAAACATTTTCAATGAATGACAATAAAGTACATGTATCTTAAATGACTGACAACCCTAATATGACTTGAATCAAAACTAACTCTTGCTATTAATTAATGCTTCAGTCACATTTGATCTACAGCAACTGAATGGCGGCTGTAACTTCCCAGAATCGAGAGAAATATGGAGCATAAAATTTAGGGATAGTTTTAAATCCATTTTGTGGAGCTATGGCTGCCATTCAGTCACTGCAGATCAAATGTGATTGAGGTGTAAGTTAAGAACCAGAATTTGTTGATTCATCAGATTTTGTCCCTTTAACAAGTGTTGCATCCCTCTCTGATCTAGAATGTTGGATTTGTGTGATAAATTGCATAAAGCCATGCTGTTTGTCAAGACCTGGGCAAGGTTTCCTCATATTAATGAGAAATGCAAGATCAGAAAGATGACGCTAAAAAGCAGAAGTGACAAATGGTCAGAGCTAGAAAAAAGAAATATGATTTAGAAATGTTAAAACACTTAAGCAGTGGAATAGATTTTCGAAGAAGTAGAACATACTATTTTCTTGAGTTGATCACTCATAATATTTTCTTAACAATGAGCTTTTGAAAACCCATCTCTGAACCATGAGCTTCAGAAAACCCATGTTTAAACCATAAGCTTTAGAAAACCCAAATCTAAACCATAAGCTTTAAACAATGCATTAACATGACAAAATGTCACCACCTAGTTGGTCACAATATTATTAATTCAATCTTAAGTCAGATTTGAATTCGGAGAACTCTGTAGATGATTTTGAAAAAAAGAAATTGGTCAATTTGAAGTAAGTTTTTTGACCCTGAGAAGGTCATTGAAGGAGATATCTTAAATCTTAAGTCAGATTGAACTTCTAAAAACTTGTAAATGATTTTGAAAGAAAATTGGTCAATTTGAACCAAGTTGAAAAAGACCTTTTTGATCTTGAGAAGGTCAAATATTTTTTGACCTTGAGAATGTCATTAAATGTCAAATCTATAGTCAGATTTGAACTTTTGAGAACTTGTAGATGATTTTGAAAAAAAATTGGACAATTCAAAGCAAGTTGAAAAAAAGACCTTTTCGACCTTTCTTTGACCTTTAGAAGGTCATTGAAGGTCACATCTTAAATCTTAAGTCAGATTTGAGCTTCTGATAACTTGTAGATGATGTCAATTTGGTCAATTTGAAGCAAGTTGAAAAATACCTTTTTGACCTTTTTTAATCTCTTTTTTTACCTTTAAGAGATCGTTGACTGTCAAATCTTAATGCAAAGTCAGATTTGAATTTCTGAAAACTTGTAGATGATTTGGAAAAAATTGAAGTCAGTCTAAACAGTATTTGTTAAGTTAAAGGAAGTTTTAAGAATTTGTTACAGACGCCAACAGCCCAACCACCAACTGCCATCACAAAAAACAGAGACACGGTAACAATATGTGTGGTGACATAAAAACCATGTCTGAACCATGAGCTTTAGAAAACGCGTTTCGAAACCATAAGCTTTAGAAAACCCATATCTTAACCATGGGTTTTAGCCATATCTAAACCATAAGCTTTAAAAACCCATGACTAAAACATGAGCCATAGAAAACCCATGTCTAAACCATAACCTGAGTCACAGAAGCTAAAGGTAATTATACCCTCTGATTAGAAAGACAAAAGGGTAATCTAATAGCTAAGTGTCAAAGCAATATTACAATCACTCCCTGAAATCAAAATAAAGATCTACGACAGTGTTCTCCACAGGATTTTTTTCTCAGGTGGATGCAAAATTCTCATTTTCACAATTCAGACCAAAATTGGTGAAAATATGCCTATTTATCAAGATTTTTCTCAGTTTTTTCCAGTTTATGCAAATGGATTTTCCGGTAGGTGCAAGTGTATTATCAAAATCTCAGGTGAGCGCTGCACTCCCTTGCTTTAATACTGGGGAGGTCACTGTATGAATATTCAATTCAATATTCAATTCAAGTAAATAAACAATATTTAGCAAAGCATATTAATGTACAGAGTGCCTATAAATCATCACCAGTCTGAGCAATAAGAGCTCTATAAAATAAAAGTTAGTTTTGACAGGTAGTAAGGCCAACTAAAGTAAATAAATACATTAAGCAAAAAAAAATTTGTGCATGTAGAAACCTCTGAATTTGCTTTTTGAATATCTAGAGCAAAATATCTGTTCTTGTCAAATTATTTTGAGTTGATAATGCTTTCACAATTCTAATGTTATAAATCGTTCATCATACTAATTTAACTGAATACAGGAAATAAGAACTTAGTCTGTGGTATTTTCAGGGTTGAATCCAATCAAACTCAGATTTTCTTATTATAAATCCCTCATATTACTAATTCATGCTGTAAAATACATGTATTTCTGCTGTAACTATAAATTCACTTTGGCAGACCTAGTTACCACTTTGTGTAGCTGTAAAGTAGCTATGCATTCCACACAAGCATCTATCTTGCTGAGCAATAAGAAAAGTATAGATGGTGCTTCATGTTCTGCTCCTGTGATGCACTCTATACAAATTTCCAGACCCGTAGCCAGGGGGGGGGGGGGTTGTTCAAGGGGGGCGAAAATTCTTTCAAAATCATGCAGATTTTCAAGAGTCTGACCATTTTTCAAGAGATTTCAGACCAAAGTTGTCAAATGTGAACCCCCCTGAAATTTTAAGAAAAGTAAACCCCCTGGTAAAAACTGGCTACGAACCTGATTTGTATGCTGTTTCCAGCTTGTTACACAATTGGACTAGACACACTAAAACACCAGCCACCCAGGAGCCATGTGAACTGTTCTTACCATTCTATTGTTTCTTAATTGCTTTCTCCACATTGACATGCACTTGAAATAAAACCTTATGAACAGCATAAAATGCACAGAATATCAAAACAGCGCTTATGATGACCAATGGGAATGTTTTAATAATATGCATGGCATCGACATCCTCTGTTTGCTCAGACATCATGCAGAACCTAAAATATAACATAATCATAATGAAATGCAGTCTGGCAAATAAGGATTTTTTAATGAGCCTAGAAAAGAGTGTAAAGAATTTTTACATTTTAGAAAAGAAATTCTTCACACTCTTTTCAAGGTACAGCAGTGCACTCTTTGTGCAAATCTGAAAGATGTAAACAATGTGGGGAAGGAGTGATTGATCTTTGAAAAATAACACATGACTCTATTGAGGATTGCACCAAAATTACAAACATGCAGTCTGACCTTAAATCCCCAAACATAGACTAATATAAAAACACACCTATTTAATTGCAGTTATTGACATAAGGCATAGTATGATGATTTAAAACTACTGAGACTGTCACAGTCTAAGATGTCACCAGGCAGAGTGTTTTATTTAGCTATTGTCCTAGGGAAATAGCTAAATTTGTATGCATCCGTTATAGTAGATATTGATCTGTTGGCGGAAGTATGGAGGCACGTCGATGGCTGCTAGGTTCTGCTTTTCTTTATAAAAAAGGGAAACTCTAGCAGCCTCTCGCTTCACTGTAGGTCTTAAAGAGCTTTGGTGATGCAGCCTGGTTCCCTTGAGTGATATTTTAGAAGTACCTAAGCTGCTTTTGGTGTCCAATAAAAGATAAAGTACTTATCAATCCATTGGAAATACGATGAAGTCAAAAAGAAAGTCTTTATTTTGCCAAAGAATGTTAAAATTCGCATATTTTAGGTAGTAGGCCTTTACGACTTTAGGCTGAAGTTTTCACAGATCCAGAGCCAGATCCAGCCCCTATTGGTAGTAGGCTTGATGAATAAATAAGAAGATCAGACACAAACCAAAAATGGTACATCGAAAAAGTGACAACTCAAATATATGACCCTCATACTCATACCCTCATATCAAGTTTTCCTGGGATAAATATTTCAAATTTTCAGAGCGTAAAGATAATGAAGTGTTTCGGTAATTTCCGGCAGTGTCCAATGTTGTTCACCGCTCAAATTACATCACATTGCAACAAACAGCCAATGAAAGTAAAGGATCACGTAGCCTAAAAAACTGTTGTTATTGTTTTTACAGGAGTTTAACAAACGTCATGGTGTTTCTCGGTAATCTCTGATGCGACTAGTGATCTGCGGTAGAACTTATCAAAAAATGAAAATATTTTTCATTTTATTCAATTTGAGGAATGATTACGCTAAATGGATGCTGAAGATGTCTTTATTCAATGCAGGAATTATCGACTATAAACTGCGTTTGTATGAAAGGGACCAATTCACCACCAAAAAGTTTGGCAAAATTTAAACTCAAGTCACAGAAATGTCAAAATTCGCAAACGTAGACCCTAAATCGCAGTATTTGGTAACTGTTGGTCTTGAATTGCGGGAATACCAGGACCAGTTTTCACTACCATTTTCAATACCAAATGTTAAGGTTCAAATTGTATTCTATTCAAATTATATCACTGTAAAACTATATATCTGCTTTAAATGGGCTTATTAGCCTTTTGCAGATTATTGATGTAGATGTAGATGAACCAAGATGCGACGTCATCCGGTTCCGTCATCCGGCATTAAATTCTCAGAAAAGACATTTGACTTCGGGAATAAACATTTGAACAACGGAATAGCCGAAACATTCCATTATAAAAACGATCGGTTATTTAATGCTTTTATCAACAGATGCTTTCTTCATGTTTCTTTCTTTAAGGTTCAGCTGGAAAGTAACATTTTGGTAAAAAATTGCTATACCTGCACATGTTATTTTCTGGTACAAAATTAAGTATGAAGTCATGTGTGTATTTCCTTGCTTTTTTCAGGAAAGTAGCATTACACTGTTTACTTTTAGAATATCTGGAAACAGGTCAATGGAAGCTTCTGTGTTGTCTGGAAACTTTGAAAGAAAATTTGGAAAAATAGAAAGTGTGAAATATCAGAATTTCCTGGAGTTCCCATTGAACCCCTACCAGATATTCTAAAAGAAGACAATGTAATGATACTTTCCTGAAAAAAGCAAGGAAATTGACACATGCCTTCATACATTTTGTACCAGAAAATAACATGTGCAGGTATAGCAATTTTTTACCAAAATGTTACTTTCCAGCTGTACCTTAAGGACAGGGTGCATGTTGGGAAATTTTCTGCATTCCTCAATTGAGTCCACATGTTATTTTTCAAACATGAATAACTCCTTCCCCACATTGTCTACATCTTCCAAGTTTGCACAAAGAGTGCACTTCTGTGCCTAGAAAAGCCTTGTGAGAAGGTTTGTTTTGTAAAATGTATAAAAAATGAGAAAATTCAGAGAAAAAAAATTCTGAAAATTTTCTGATTTTTTTCACTGAATTTTCTTGTTTTTTATACACTTTATCAAAACATTCTTCTCACAAGTCCTTTCTAGGCACATAAGTGCACTCTTTGTGCAAAACTGGAAGATATAGACAATGAAGGGAAGGAGTGATTCTTGTTTGAAAAATAACATGTGACTCAATTGAGGAATGTAGAAAATTTCCCATCATGCACCCTGACCTTAAACTGTGATTGGAGGTGAATCTAACAACGCATCGTTTCATCGTTTCAGTTATGACATGTGATATTCATTGATAAAATGTCTTGTCCTTGAGTATATTCATTGAGTCTAGACACCAATATCTGGCAGAAGCCACCAATGAGCTCTGACATGCTGAAGAGTCTGCCCGTGGGAGATGCCTGTGATTCAGTCACGGAGACGTCTTTTGATTCCTATTTTTTAGGTTTTATTGATGAAAACCTCGAATGAAAACATTGTTAATCAAATCTAGAATTATAAATATGAGTTAGATGTCTAAAATGAAGACAATAAACATAGGAAACATCCAAAAACTCACCAAATTTTTCAAAAGTTGAGCCTAAGAACACCTACAAGAAACGTTGACGCGCAAAAATAATTTAATGAAAAAAATTCTGTTAGAAAGCAAACCTTGGATTAAAACTAATAGAGGGAACATTAATTTCAATGATTAAATCAAATATATGAAATGTAATCATAAAATTTTGATTGTACACTCCAAAATCCTTCTATTTAATAAATAAATACCCCTCCGCGAAATAGTGCATTTCCTATACGTCACTTCCTGTTAAAAAAGAAGAATAATATTAGACGTCTACCGTGTTATATACGATTTTGCTGCATTGTTTCATTGTACTGACGCAGAATATTGTATATACGACATTTTATGTAAGTCTAAGCATCTATCTTTTTATAAGTTTACACTTTTACACTTGCCATGTTGCTCAGATGTTTTTTCACGAACATTCATATTGGCACGCTGTCTCTTCTGACAGGTGGAAATGTGGGGGGGGGCTACATTTACCTATGTGAAAGGCTGAGACTGATTCTGATATACAGCCCTCGAACGCAGGATATAGGTCACTTTTAGTGGTAACGTCTGAAACTGAAATACTGAATCCCACAAAGCCTTTTGACCTTCCCCAATCTCGTAATCCCTAAGGGAATTCATCTGTTATGAGAGGGGGGGGGGCAAAAGCCCATAAAGGTCGAAAAAGGTCTTGATACAACTTCCTGTGCTGAATCCAGAGACTTACTTTCTATCTCAGTACGAATGTTCCTAACATCAATGGTCTTTTCCAGTGTCTCAGTGCTACCCCCATAAATGTGGGGTAGTCTTCTTCTTAGTCCTTAGTTCAACAAGTTAAACCCAATACCACGGCTTTCATTTTTTAATCTGAATGTTCGTGTTGCCGTGGTTGGGTTTAACTTCCGTGCTATGCTTTCGTTTGTTGCAAATTCCCACCATCAGTTATTAATTAAACGCGCATCGAATTTCATGCGGAACCATAGGCCACCATTAAATTTTTTTGCATCAAGGGCTGAATAGGCACGGAAGTTAAACCTAGGGCGGGCCACAAGATATGTCAGATAAGAAATAAGGCCCAGACTAGGTTTAACTTGTTGAACTACTTAGTCCTTAGTCCTGGGGTAGAATTGGCGTTTTTTCTTATTTTTTAATATTTTAGTGCCAAAAGATTTGGCACAAGAATGATAAAATATAAGAAAAATCGCCAAATCGACCCCACATTTATGGGGGTACTCAGCTGCAGATCAAGATTTTTTTATTGCGCAAGGTAGAACTTTTCTGCGAGAAATTAAAATGGCGGTTTTAATGGAAAAGAATGAATCTTGCAGAAATTTCTGAACAATGTCAATAAAGCTACAGTAACATTTTAAATGTTTGGAACTACTTTGAATTTAAAAAATAAGCATAAAATGACTACATTGTTTGCAACAGTACAGTATATAAAAAAATTAAAACATATGTATACTTGTCCTAACTTTTGTTTATTTCAGGTAGTTATGTATAATGTGCAGTAAAGCTGTGGCCTTTTGTAAGTTTCAGCCATGTTAATTTTTCTGAAAAAAACATGGCAGAGAAGCATCAAAATATAAGAGGCCACAGATTTGATAGCTGAACTTCAAAACAAAACTAAAATATACAAAAGTTATAACATGTATAAATGTTTCTATTTTTACATATCATGTTTCAATGTGGTCCCTTGATTGCTTATTTTTTAAATTCAAAGTAGTTCCAAACATTTAAAATTCTTAGAGCTCCGGTCGAAATAGAATCTGATGTCGACATGTCGAAGCCCAAGGTCGACGACAGTATCGACTGTCGGAATTAAATCTCCACAAAAAATTGGCAAAGAAAAAAATCAAAAATAGTTAACTAAGATTTTACTTCTGGTAAAAAATGAGCATACATTTTCTATCCCGACCCCTCACATGTACTGTATATTGATATTATAGATTAATATGCATATACGTATGTTAGAGATCGAGAAGTAAATAAACAAACTTTGAATACAAACCTCCATTGTTATCGTTCTGCTACTTACACTTCCGGTGGATCCGGCTCGTCCCGTTGCAGCACTTCGAATAGCCCAGTAGCCATGCAAGCCAAAACCACATATGAATCTCAATTTTCAATACAACAATACACACCAAACAAATGTGATTTCAGTCGGAGAATTAATTTTGATTATCAGGAGTATCTGGCAGTATTGAGGCCTTAGTTGTGTTTGAAGTTTCAAAATGAAATATCTCTGGGGAGTAATCTTTAACACGGATTGTAATTCTAGTTAAAACTTATAAGAATATCAATGAAATTGAATAAAATGACTTACCGTTCTGATCAGAGGCCCCTTTTGCCTGTACGATTACAACTTGGGAGAATTATCTGTGCCCCTTACACTTAAGATACCTACTTCAATAGATTCCTGGGTATTTTAGCATTCTTTTCGGGTAGTTGAATCTACAATTGTTTGGGTATATCGGCAGAATTGGAACATTTTTCTTTTCATCGAGAGATATTCCATCACTTTCCAAGATGGCGGTTGGATTTAAAAGGGGATTCCCAGTTTGACTGACCCGGAAATGGGCCGGATAACCAATAAATGGTAGAATTTGACGGTTGAAATAAGTTAAATATTACACGATCAAAAACGAAAATTTCTTTGTTCTGCCGATAAATCCAGACAATTGTTGATACAACTACACGAATAGAATGCTAAAATACCAAGGAATCTATTGAAATAGGTATCTTAAGTGTAAGAAGCGTAGAAAATTCTCCCATGTTGTAATCGTACAGACAAAAGAATAAGACGTTTGCAAGACAAGAACGAAGAGATAGTCTTGGAACGAGATAAATGTTAGGAACATTTGTAGATAGAAAGTAAGCCGCTGAATTCAGTATTTCAGTTTCAAATGTTATGACTACAAAGTGACCGATCACCTGCGTTGAAAGGCTGCATATCAGAATCAGTCACAGCCTTTGACAACCCCCCACTTCCAACAAAGGGGGGGGGGGTTGTGGTAAAAAATATGGTAATTAACTGTTTCTTCATAAGAGTACAGGGAGATTGTTGACATATGTCAATTTGAATAATCGCATATAAAAATGAACTGAAATGGTGGGTGGGTTCATTAGAAATAGCGGCCATTTTAGTGCCGATTTTACAGTAATTTAGGTACAATATGTAAAACTGTAATAGCAATTATGTTTAATAGAGGACATTAAGAAAGCTAGAAATGTAGATATCAAAGAAGCACTATTTTACGATTTTTACTGTAACTTGAAAAGTAGTGGAGCAATTTTGTTCATATTTGGTATGTGAATACTATAAGCATGGCAAACTGTCTAATGACACTTTTGGTAGAAGGCGGCCAATTTGAAAATCAAACTTGAAAAGTTTCTAACTTTTCCCCTTTGAATTTTCCAACAAAATGGAAATTGTCATTCATTTTCTCAGGCTCTTAGAAATTCCAAACTTCATTGATTTCAAACAAACAGTAAAAGAATTAGTATATGTATGTTTGAGGACATTAAATAACGCAAATGCGAGTAGGTAGTTACCAGTTTCACCACCAGGTGGCTCGCTCGGGTCAGATAGCATGGCGGGTATTGTAGAAAGTTCCCTTTAACTTAAATTACATAGGTTTTAGTGGTTCAATTTTCATATAGCCCTTATGTATCGAATAATTATGCAAATTAAAATATGTCCAGTAAAATAAAATGTTAGATGTCCAATACAAGAAAAGATATTTCACTTTTTGTGATTTTGTAATATGGGGTCTATGGGGAATCAACCCGAGCTAGAAGTCACATTTTCAAAAAATATTAAATTTTCAAAGTTGATAAACAATTTTCGAAACCATATTTTAAGATGTATTTTTACATGTAGATTTCAAATATGACATCACTTTGACTGAATTTTGAATATTTAATGACGTAAATCAAGATCATTTCTACTTGCATCTAGTCTATTTAATGCGTAATCTAGTTAGATAATATTTTTTAATAATTGCTGTAGTAGTCATTTTTCTATGCAGTGTTCTTCACAGGATTTTTTCTTAAGTGGGTGCAAAATTCTAATTTTCCTTATATAGACCAAAATTGGAAAAATATTGTCGGACCTGGCCAAAATCTGGTAGTGTGGTTGTGGTCGGGTCACGAACAATTTATTTAATATGGGATTCTCACTGGTTTTATGTGGGCGCAGACCTGGTTTGGTGGTACTGCTTTCACTGAAAGGGGAGGTGGTTACACATTTATATACAAAATTCAAATATATAGGTTTTTTATAATTTATTAACACTTTAATTTTGAAAACAAATAAAACACAAATGTCCATGTAATAAATATCTCTGAGTTGTCTTGTTGCTCTTCTCTTGTTTGCACTCTGCGCTACTTTTACTCTTCTTCACTCTGCTCAGGGGTTACTCTGCTTTACTCTTCTGTTCTCTGACGTCATTTACTCTGCTTTAGTTTCACTCTGTTCTGCTCTGGTTACTCTTTATTCCGCTCTGCTCTGCTTTACTCTATTCTGCTCTGGTTACTCTTTATTCCGCTCTGCTCTACTTTACTCTGGTCTGCTCTGGTTATTCTTTATTCCGCTCTGCTCTGCTTTCTCTCTATTCTGTTCTGGTTACTCTTTACTCCTCTCTGCTCTGATTTACTCTGTTCTGCTCAGGTTACTCTTTACTCCTTTCTGTTCTGCTCTGCTTACTCTTTCCCCTGTTCAGCTCTGCTTACTCTTTATTCTGTTCTGCTTACTCTTTACTCTGCACTGCTCTGCTTACTCTTTATTCTGTTCTGCTTACTCTTTACTCTGCACTGCTCTGCTTACTCTTTCCCCTGTTCTGCTCTGCTTACTCTTTATTCTACTCTGCTTACTCTTTACTCCTATCTTCTCTGCTCTGGTTACTCTCTACTCCTATCTGCTCTGTTCTGCTTTAATCTGTTCTGCTCTGCTTACTCTTTACTCTGCACTGCTCTGCTTTACTCTTTACTCTACCCTCGTCTCTGCTATTCACTCTGCTTTACTCTTTTCTGCTCTGCTTACTCTTTACTCCTATCTGCTCTGCTCTGCTTACTCTTTACTCCTATCTGCCCTGCTTACTCAGGATTCTGCTCTGCTTACTCTTAACTCCTATCTGTCCAGCTTACTCAGGATTCTGCTCTGCTTACTCTTTACTCCTATCCGCTCTGCTCTGCTTACTCTTTACTCCTATCTGTCCTGCTTACTTAGGATTCTGCTCTGCTTACTCTTTACTCCTATCTGCTCTGCTCTGCTTACTCTTTACTCCTATCTTCCCTGCTTACTCAGGATTTTTCTCTGCTTACTCTTTACTCCTATCTGTCCTGCTCTACTCAGGGTTACTCTTCTTCAGCCTGGGTTACTCGTCTTTACTCTTCGCTGCTCTGCTCTACTCAGGGTTACTCTTCTTCAGCCTGGGTTACTCTTCTTTACTCTTCGCCGCTCTGCTCTACTCAGGGTTACTCTTCTTCAGCCTGGGTTACTCGTCTTTACTCTTCGCCGCTCTGCTCTACTCAGGGTTACTCTTCTTCAGCCTGGGTTACTCGTCTTTACTCTTCGCCGCTCTGCTCTACTCAGGGTTACTCTTCTTCAGCCTGGGTTACTCTTCTTTACTCTTCGCCGCTCTGCTCTACTCAGGGTTACTCTTCTTCAGCCTGGGTTACTCGTCTTTACTCTTCGCCGCTCTGCTCTACTCAGGGTTACTCTTCTTCAGCCTGGGTTACTCTTCTTTACTCTTCGCCGCTCTGCTCTACTCAGGGTTACTCTTCTTCAGCCTGGGTTACTCGTCTTTACTCTTCGCCGCTCTGCTCTACTCAGGGTTACTCTTCTTCAGCCTGGGTTACTCTTCTTTACTCTTCGCCGCTCTGCTCTACTCAGGGTTACTCTTCTTCAGCCTGGGTTACTCGTCTTTACTCTTCGCCGCTCTGCTCTACTCAGGGTTACTCTTCTTCAGCCTGGGTTACTCTTCTTTACTCTTCGTCGCTCTGCTCTACTCAGGGTTACTCTTCTTCAGCCTGGGTTACTCGTCTTTACTCTTCGCCGCTCTGCTCTACTCAGGGTTACTCTTCTTCAGCCTGGGTTACTCTTCTTTACTCTTGGCCGCTCTGCTACTCAGGGTTACTCTTCTCCAGCCCGGTTGTTCAAAACAAGACTAGTAATTCGGGAATATCAATCAAATTATGAGATTAGACCCCAATTACTAGTCCAAAAGGAAATAACTCTACTGCTCAACAAAATACTTGCTCCGGATGGAATCAAGAATGTCGATCAAATCCTGAGATTAGATTTGATCCACACACTTCAATGAGGATAAAACTACCGCTCAAAAATAAGAAAATGCTTGCTTTAAGGAACGAGTAGTTCAAGAATGTCAATCAAATTCTGAGATTAGACTTGAACCACACGTGGACCGGAAGTCATCCAAGATGGCGGAATTGCAAAGGATTGTGGGGAGTGTATGATGCAATCACCAAAATCTCAATGTCAAATCGAAAAAAACATCAAATTAACCTTTTGATTGTATCACAAAAAGGAATTATAGGAATATATCAGCACTTACAAAATCTGGAACATGTTCTTTAGACGTCTCTAACTGCTAATTCACTCACAGTTCTCCTTGTTCGCCCACATCACACCATGCCAAATGGTCCTATATCCACGTGTCATGGTATTTTCCGTCACGAAACGATAAATATACTCCAACTAACGCTAATCCACACTTGGTTAATCTCCAGACTTCCTCAGATTTATCAGCATCCACAAACACAATAAACATCCAATAATAGAATCAAATTTTCCATTATATTCCCGATTTAGCTTTAAAAATGATGCTACACATCCTCACACTTCAACATTTAAAGCAAGACTAACATCAGGTGATCAGATTATCTCCTATCTTAACCCACTAATGAGATGCATAAGGAAGCTATCTGATTGGCTACAGCTGGACTAAGCTGGTGTGTTTACTCCATTTGGTGATGCATTGTGGGAAATCACTATGACAATGTCAATCACAGATCCTTTAATTGCCGATGACTCATAACCATGTGGCATATTTCTCCTATGGGTTGACCAATTCTAGGACAAGGGTTCCCGCACAAGCAAAGAGTAAGGTTACTCTTACTCTTACTCCCAGCTTACTCCTTGAGTTTATGGTTACTCCTAAGTTACTCTTTGAGATTTGCACTTACTCTTAGTTTACTCTTTTTATTAGTTTAGATTTTTTGGGGTTAAACTACCGAAGACCAGGCATAGCACATAAGCATAATAAGGATGGCACTGTTAGAAGAAAGAGTAAGTTACCCAATCCCCGGAAATATTAATTTAAACTATTACAGAAGTAAGGAACGTTATCCCTAATTGTTCCCAGATAATATAAAACATAAATGTATATCAGAAAAATACCCTACTAGGGGGGTCATGAAGTTATAACCACAAAGTAATTTGACCTAGATATTCGAAAAAGAAAGTAAACACAACTCGAACGAAAAAAATTCTACTCTGCACGATCATTACATCTAAATTCAGGCAAGTTTCTCTTAGATTATCACATAATATTACTCTTGATACTTATATGAATGAAGGGAATATAAAAATAAATGGAAACCTACCAGGAGATCGCAGGAAAGGAGCCTTTTTTAAAATTTTGAAATGACAATTCTCGTGTATTTGAAATTTCAGAACTAGCGCCCTCTAGCGTAGATTAAATTTTGAAAGGTGGGAAATTCAAATTTCCCACAATATGCTAAATTTTCATGATTTTTCAGGTGGGTGCAAGCCTTTTATTAAAATCTCAGTTTGGTGCTGCACCCACTTGCTTTTATGCTGGGGAGATGACTGCTTCTGTTCAGGGGTGTAGCCAGCAACTGTCAATATCCCAGATGCGAGTAGAAATGATCTTGATTTACGTCATTAAAAATTCACAATTCAGTCAAACTGATGTCATATTTCGAATCTACATGTAAAATTACATTTAGAAATGTGGTTTTGAAAAGAGTTTATCAACTTTGAAAATTTAATTTTCTTTGAAAGTGTGACTTCTAGGTTGGGGAGATTCCCCATAGACCCCATGTTGTAAAACCACAAAAAGTGAAATATATTTTCTTGTGTTGGGCAAATAATGTTTTCTTTTACTGGACATATTTTAATTTGTATAACTATCAGATACATAATGGTAATATGAAAAGTGAACCATTAAAACTGATGCATATTCAAGTTTAAGGGAATTTTGTAATACCCTGCCATGTTAATTCCCCCGAATCAGCCACCTGGTGGCGAAACTGGTAACTACATACTCGCATCTGAGTAATTGGTTTTGAATTTTTGGGTTTGCACCACTGCCAGCGAAGGGGGGGGGGTACAGGGGTACACCCCCAGAAATTAAAAAACAATACACAGTATATGGTGCATTCTGAGCATTTCAAACTACAATTTGTTAATGTTTTTTGAACAAATTTTACAAAATAGATTTTTTGTGAGGATGGGGGGGGGGGGTGCAATTGCACCAAACAATCCCAGTTGTGGGTTTAGGTGACAAGATATCATGTACCTACACTGTCTATGGATTAACAGGTCTTACTATTTTACTAATAAGCCAGGTCTAACACCAATAATATTGGATTTATATCAGGAGAACTTACTGACAGTTTGTCTTCTAATAGGGTAATCCTAAGTGATATTCCAAAGCTCTAGAAAGACATTCTCTTATGCAGGACATCCTTGAAATTAGTATCATCTGATATTTATGAATAAAATAAGAAATATAGTGGATAATACTGAAAAGATCATGAATGAAGCAAATACTTGTCAAATGAAGATGTTTATTGAATAGAAATGTGTAAACATTATTTTACTATTCCAAAATTCAAAGGAAATAATTTGAAATGTTTTGATAAGTTTGACATTTTAAACATGGGATAATGGAATGTGATATCTTCAGCCTCTCTGCTCATAACAGCTTCACTTCCACATCAGATGCTAATGCAGAAATGACCTATTTCTCTCGCTCTGTCTGGGTAAGTGTTTATCCTTTGTTCTTTTTTCATTTCAGATTTTGTAAAATTTCACAAAATGGAAAGTCAGGCTGATCCGAAATTTTTATACGATGATAAAGATGGGAGGATTGACCAGAAGAAAGTATGTTCTGATAATGAGGTTAAGCAAGATGAGACAAAGGATGAATCCAAAGACGCAGAATATTGTGGGACAGAGGCTCTAGAAAATGTTAACCCCAAAACAAATGGGGCAACTAGTGGACCAAATACACAATCACAGCAAAAAGACACTGAAACAATTGATAACCAACAAGACAATGTTGGTGCATGCCAACAAGAAGAAATTCCAAAAGTAGATGCACCATTTGGTGATACTAAAAACCCCATGGATAAAGATGAAGAGACTAAAGAAGATGGTGATCTTGAAATTGATGTATCAAAAGAGAAATCAGAAACTAGTTTATCACCAAAACCAATGTCTAAAAAACAAATGAAGAAAATGCAGAAACGGTTGAAGTGGGACTCATTAAAACTTGAAAAGAGGTAATATAAGCATCTATGTAATTTTAAAATCAATTGGTTTCAGGAGTATTTAAGTGTAGTAAGGTAGTTTAGGTAGTTTAACAACACCCCCCCCCCCCCCCCCCATTCCTAATGCAGCCTCAAACACATTTGATCTAAGGCAGCTATACAATGACTGTGCATGTAGCTTCCCAAAGTACCAAATAGTGCAGGGGTTTCATTAGGAGCAGGCAACAAGCGATTTTCACCTGTTGTTTTTACAAAATTGCCTGTTGTTGTTTTAGGGACTTTTCAACTTTTCCATATAAGATTAACGATTTCCATCAATTTTGCCAATTGTTTTCATTATTTTAGCCTGTTGTGAGAAATTCTAATGTCACCCCTGTAGTGTGAGGAAATGATGCTCCTTTCAGAGAATCTAAGTCATTCTCTTGCCAAAGGGTACCTTTTTTAAAAATTATTACTTGTTCTTCTTTGTTTGAAACTGGTTGAAACTGGTGGCATGTGTTGATATTTGATATGCCAGCTGTTTGATGTTGCATTAATATACTTTAAGAGCAATTGTATTGGGCTGAACCATCCTTGGAAGAAGAGGTCATTATTATCCCATCGAACGAAGTTCGGAGGGATATAGGGAACGCCTCCGTCCGTCCGTCCGTCCGTATGTACGTCCGTCCGTACGTACGTCCATCCGTACGTACGTACGTACGTACGTCCATCCGTCCGTCTGTCCGTCCGGGCAATAACTCAAATACCGTTGGCCCGATTTTGTTCATATTTTGTACACATATACCCTATGGGGGTAGAAGTTCTGCTCGAAAGCCGATTTTCAAAATGGCCGCTCATTTCAAAATGGCGGCCATTTTAGTGCCGATTTTACAGTAATTTAGGTGCAATATGTAAAACTGTAATAGCAATATGTTTTCAATGTAAAAAATTTATAAAGGACATTAATAATGCTACAAATGTACATATTAGAGAAGCACATGGCAGCCATCTTGAAAAATGGCGACCTTTAATCGTCATTTTACGATTTTTGCTGTAACTCAAAAAATAGTGGAGCGATTTTGTTCATATTTGTTATGTGAATACTATAAGCATTGCACACTGTCTAAAGACACTTTTGGTAGAAGGCGGCCATTTTGAAAAATGGCGGCCATTTTAACGTATTTTACTATAACTCGAAAAGTAGTGTAGCGATTTTGTTCATATTTGGTATGTGAATACTATAACCATGGCACACTGTCCTATGACACTTTTGGTAGAAGGCGGCCATTTTGAAATAAATTTTGAAAAATGGCCGACATTTTAACATATTTTACTATAACTCGAAAAGTAGTGGAGCGATTTTGTTCATATTTGGTATGTGAATACTATAAACATGGCACACTGTCCTATGACACTTTTGGTAGAAGGTGGCCATTTTGAAAAAAAATTTGAAAAATGGCCGCCATTTTAACGTATTTTACTATAACTCGAAAAGTAGTGGAGCGATTTTGTTCATATTTGGTATGTGAATACTATAAGCATGGCACACTGTCCTGTGACACTTTTGGTAGAAGGTGGCCATTTTGAAAAATGGCCGCCATTTTAACATATTTTACTATAACTCGAAAAGTAGTGGAGCGATTTTGTTCATATTTGATATGTGAATACTTTAAGCATTGCACATTGTCTAATAAAACTTTGGGGAGTAGTCGGCCATTTTGAAAAATGGCCACCATTTTTATGTGTGTTATTTTACAAGTACGTGTGCGATTTTTCAAAAATTTTAGAGGTGGCTACTTAAAAGCATATTATTTCTTTTGATGACAACTTGGCTAGTGAGCAACCATTTTGCAAATGGTGGCCTTTCTGGTGTGTTGTTTTATGATATTTGCTATTCGTTTGTAAAAATGCCAGCCATTTCTGTTCGATGGGATTCGCTACGCTTTGGCGTTGCCGTTGTTCTGGTTTTTATTTTATGGGCGCATTAATCCCACTGCAATAAAAAAACTTTATGTCTGGAAGTATTAAACTGAAAGAAGGGACATTAAGTTTATCTCTTTCCTTCTCCATAAAAATCACTGTAGTATGGCAATGCCAGTGCAAATAGATTGAAGGAAAACTGTTGTACGAGATCACCCACTTTCTTTGTTTTTCATTGGAAAATAATGGTTTGGATAACTGGGGCTTTCTGTGTTGTCTTATCAAAATATTAGTATTAAAATCACAATAATTGTTTTTGATCCATCAAAAGCACAAAAATATGCTTTTGTCAGAAATTGTAGGCAAAATTGAGGTTGAGACATGTATAACTTGGATCTGTTTAGGGTCAACTAGTTAAAGCCCCTTTTCGATAGGTAAGAAAATTCTCATCAAATACTTGTACTCCAAGAGATACTAAAACTAGATCCCATTATGATATTTGCTATACAGTCAGACTGTAAGACATATCTTTAAATAATGCCTGATGCCAGACTTGATAGCAGCTCCCATTAAAAAAACATCTGAATATGTTTCAACTATCTTTGGTAACTTCCAGTCTTATGTTTGAGATGGATAGAACATTCTATGGAGTCAAGTTAAGAATGCTTTAAAATTCTTATTTCCCTTTACTGGAAATCATTTAAAACACCACATGTTTGTTATCTCAACATCTCAAAATCACCATGGCAACAGTAAGACTATCTTAAGTTACCCATGATTAAAGCTTAAACTAACCAAGCATATTTTGCTCCGTTTTCAAAAATTCAGAGCATCTACATGGTATTTTGGCAAATAGTGTTTTATAAGATTTTATATGTTATATTAATTTACTTTTTTGTTTTCTTTATCTTTTCTTATTCAATTTTGAATGATAAAAATGTAATAAATGGGAAGTTTTATTTTTAGGATAGGCTCCATTTTTCTTGGCAGTTGTTGTTATCATTCCTGTACGTAATATTTACTCTTTTTCATACAATTTCTCTCTAAAATTTGAATTAACTACCTGTTTTTTGGCATTTGTATACAATTTAGAGAGTTGATTACACGTCTGATTACTTTATTCATTATGGTCCTACTCTTTCCAATCTATTTTCTTTTTTAAGACATGAAAACTATGAATATTTTAAGAAAGGTGTAGAATTGCTTAGGTTATTTTATGTTTGACAGTTGAGAGTGCCTACTTGCCCTCCTTGTGAACTCCTAGAGTTTTGAAATACTTTGTGTTTTGATATCCTGTCTGGCTTTAAGGTCACGCAGGGGGTTGTCATCTGATTCTGATCTTAGTCCTATAACATATTTGGCATGGTATACACATTTTATTGTGGATTTGTAACTAAATGGAAGATGAATTTCACCATTATGATGCTATGTACACGTGAATTACATGTTAGACAGATAACCTGGAAAAAGATACAAATGTGATTTTAGATATCATTTATTTAAATGTTTATCTGATCTTATTTCAGAGCAAAAGAAAGGGAAAATTTAAAGAAAAGGAAAGCAGAGGCTAAAGAACGAGGTGAACCATGGGACAAACCATCAAGAAAGAAACTGAAACACAACAATATGGCCACCAGTGCCTGCAAGCAGAGGATATGCGTGGATTGCTCATTTTCTTCGTATATGTCCCCCAAGGTAAAGTATGCTTACATTTGAGTAAATGCAGTTTGGTGGGGGAGGGTTAAGATTCAATGCACGTATGAGCCAGTCCATTGGAAAAAGGGTCTTATCACAGATTTTTTCAATATTCTGATTTACTGTTTATCATAAAAAGCACAAAGAGACCTTTCAAATGAGCCATGGCTTGTGTTTTAACAATTTTTCCTTGCAGATATAGACCAAAAAGACGGATTTGAATTTAGCACATTTTCCTTTTAATCTTTGGCACACTTTTGGCTCTGTAGCACAATTTTAATTTTTGTGATAAGATCGGGTTTCCTATGGCCAGGCTCATATATTCTTACCCATGATTTGCATTTGTCATCCTGTTTACTTGACTACAATAGGGAGGTTAAGTTACATATTTTTAAGGGAATCTGTAATGTTAGTGTGTAATGTTTCGACTCCCGGGGATTACTCTCCCACTTTTAATTTACTTTTCTAAGTACCTAATTACGATATCTTTAAATATACCTTTATACTCAATAGGCAAAGTTAACAGTACAACTGGGAGTACAACTAATTCAAAGAGGACCATAATTGTACTTGTTCTATCTCTAAATTCTCCAAAATAATAGTCATTTCTTAAGTTTAATGTCTGTTATAAAGTGACATCTATGTTATTTAGTGCAAATAATTTAAACATTCCCATTTTTGAATCATAAGCATTTATGGATCCTGGATTTTTATCGTACCTAACAAAAGGTACGATATTGTAGTCAGCTTGACGGGCGGCGGGCGGGCGGGCGGCGTCTCACTTTTCAGCTTGTCTACAGGTTTCCAGCCAAACCATTTGTGGGATTCATCTGAAATTTTCAGGGATGTTTCTACATATCAACGTCAAGAACTGATTAGTTTTTGGGCATTCTGGGTAAATCTTAAGGTGGCCATTTTGGATTTTCCGTCCTAAAATCTTCACTTTCAAGACTTGTCTACAGGTTTCCAGCCAAACCATTTGAGGGATTCATCTGAAATTTTCAGGGATGTTTCTACATATCAATGTCAAGAACTGATTAGTTTTTGGGCATTCTGGGTAAATTTTAAGGTGGCCATTTTGGATTTTCCGTCCTAAAATCTTCACTTTCAAGACTTGTCTACAGGTTTTCAGCCAAACCGTTTGAGGGATTCATCTGAAATTTTCAAGGATGTTTCTACATATCAACATCAATAACTGATTAGTTTTTGGGCATTCTGGGTAAATTTTAAGGTGGCCATTTTGGATTTTCCGTCCTAAAATCTTTACTTTCAAGACTTGTCTACAGGTTTCCAGCCAAACCTTTTGAGGGATTCATCTGAAATTTTCAGGGATGTTTCTACATATCAACGTCAAGAACTGATTAGTTTTTGGGCATTCTGGTTAAAATAAAGGTGGCCATTTTGGATTTTCTGTCCTAAAATCTTCACTTTCAAGACTTGTCTACAGATTTTCAGCCAAACCATTTGAGGGATTCATCTGAAATTTTCAGGGATGTTTCTACATATCAACGTCAAGAACTGATTGGTTTTTGGGCATTCTGGGTAAATTTTAAGGTGGCCATTTTGGATTTCTTGTCCTAAAATCTTCACTTTCAAGACTTGTCTACAGGTTTCCAGCCAAACCGTTCAAATTTTTACATATGTTACACAGTGATAAGTTCTAGAGCTGATTAACTTTTCTGCGGCCATCTTGCTTTCTTGGTCAACAAGACCACAATGCTGTGTTTTAGGTACGATATTGTTCACATCTGTGCCTTGTTTTGTTATAGGGGGGGGGGGGGGGGGCAAATTCACATATACAATGTTTTTTTGGGCTGACCTCCATGTATAATGGCCCATGTTTGGGGGGGGGTTTTGTCTTTATTATACTCTAATGTAAGACATTTTTGAGTAGAGTCCAAATAATGCATCTTTTTCTGATTCAAGCCAAAATCCCAAATTTCGTATTTCTGTGTTTAACAATTTGTTTATATATTATTTATTTACATCTTTATAACTAGAGACTCCTCTACCTTAAAACATATTATAAATAAATTAACCCTTTCCTAATCATTTATTAAGAATTTCACTGTGTTATAGGATCTTGGCAAAACTGTAAAACAACTTGGACACTCCTATGCAGCTAACAGACGTATGGTAAATCCAGTACAGTTTTATGTTACGGGGGTTAGAGATGACGTCAAACAACGATTATTGGAGTACAACAAAGATTACGACAAATGGGATGTAAGTTAACTTTATATATCAACACTTTTCACTGGCAGATCTCAAGGGGGCCCGGAAAAAATTTTAGGCCCCAAAGAATTTTGGGCCCAAAAAAATTGTATGGCCTCTGTCCGTCCGGGCAATAACTGAAATACCATTGGCCCGATTTTGTTCATATTTTGTACACATATACCCTATGGAGGTAGAAGTTCTGCTCGAAAGCCAATTTTTAAAATGGCCGCTCATTTAAAAACAGCAGCCATTTTAGTGCCGATTTTACAGTAATTTAGGTACAATATGTAAAAATGTAATAGCAATATGTTTTAAATGTAAAAAAAATTATAAAGGACATTAATAAAGCTAGAAAATGTAGATATTAAAGAAGCACATGGCAGCCATCTTGAAAAATGGCGGCCTTTACTCGTTATTTTGTGATTTTTGTTGTAACTTGATCGAAAAGTAGTGGAGCGATTTTGTTCATATTTGGTAATATGTGAATACTACAAGCATGGCACACTGTCTAATGACACTTTGGTAGAAGCCGGCCATTTTGAAAAATGGCCAATATTTTAACATATTTTACTATAACTCGTAAAGTGGTGGAGCGATTTCGTTCATATTTGGTATGTGAATACTTTAAGCATGGCACACTGTCTAATGACTCTTTTGGTAGAAGGTGGCCATTTTGAAAAATGGCTGCCATTTTAATGTATTTTACTATTACTCGTAAAGTAGGGGAGCAATTTTGTTCATATTTGGTATGTGAATACTTAAAGCATGGCACACTGCCTAATGACAATTTCGGTAGAAGGTGGCCATTTTGAAAAATGACCGCCATTCTAACGTATTTTACTATAACTCGAAATGTAGTGGAGCGATTTTGTTCATATTTGGTATGTGAATACTATAAGCATGGCACACTGTCTAATGACACTTTTGGTAGAAGGTGGCCATTTTGAAAAATGGCTGTCATTTTAATGTATTTTACTATAACTCGAAAAGTAGTGGAGCGATTTTGTTCATATTTGGTATGTGAATACTATAAGCATGGCATACTGTCTAATGACACTTTTGGTAGAAGGTGGCCATTTTGAAACATGGCTGTCATTTTAATGTATTTTACTAAATCGTAAAGTAGGGGAGCGATTTTGTTCATATTTGGTATGTGAATACTATAAGCATGGCATACTGCCTAATGACAATTTTGGTAGAAGGCGGCCATTTTTAAAAATGGCTGCCATTTTAACGTATTTTACTATAACTCATAAAGTAGTGGAGCGATTTTGTTCATATTTGGTATGTGAATACTATAAGCATGGCACACTGTCCAATGAAATTTTTGGTAGAAGGTGGCTATTTTAAAAAATGGCTGCCATTTTAATGTATTTTACAATAACTCGTAAAGTAGGGGAGCGATTTTGTTCATATTTGGTATGTGAATACTATAAGCATGGCACACTGTCTTATGACAGTTTTGGTAGAAGGCAGCCATTTTGAAAAATGATCACCATTTTTACATATTTATCTGTAACTCGAAAAGTAGCAGAGTAAGCATGGCACACTGTCTAATGACACTTTTGGTAGAAGGTGGCCATTTTGAAAAATGGCTGCCATTTTTGCTATTTACTTTGTTTAAAAAATTTAAAAAATGCCAGCCATTGCTGTTTGATGGGATTTGCTATGCTTTGGTATTGCTATTGTCTGGTTATTCCAGTGAACAAAGTTCGTAGGTATATAGAGGAGACATGTATCTGTCCATTCGTTCATTCACCAATGGTTTATTATCCCATTTCAACAAAGTTGAATACCAGTTTAAACACCAGTTGATGGATTTGGTTTGAATTTTTTATGCTTATGCCTTATGGATATAAAACTACTACTTGAGAACAGAAGTGAGTAGCTCCCATAATAACTTGCCATTTTTGCCACTGTCAATCACTGATTAATATTAATGAGCACTCCATACATGGTCTTAAATGCCTTTTATGGAGCTATCACGTGATATTTAAAATGATGGACAACAGCATTTTTTTCGCTTTTTTCATTCAAAGTCCATCTCTTTTATGAATAGTTGCGTAGTATGACTTTTGAACTTTTAGGTAATAGCAAAATGAAATTAACCCAAATGGTTTATTTACATGAGCATATGTTACAGTGTAACAAAAATTTAATTTTTAACCACATCTAGACTGCATTCTAAAGAAAACACTTATATTTTGTAAACATGTTAATATTTGACAGGTGAATTTGCTGAGTGAGAACTACATAGATGTATTTGATAAAGAAGATATTGTGTACCTGACCAGTGATTCTGAAAACATTGTAAACACTTTAGATGACTCAAAGGTCTACATAATAGGAGGGCTGGTGGACCACAATGCTCATAAGGTATGCTTTATTATTCATTAAAAATACAGGGTGTCTCAGTATCTGTAACATAAATGTAACTTAAACTACAGGGTGTCATAAGCCATCATTTTGCCATTTTATCCTCATTTACATCAATTATTTGAGGATATTGATTGATCAATTCAAAATTTGAAAAGGTAAGTGATGCTAGGAATTTTTTTATTTTTTGGGATAGTTAATCGGTTGGGTTTCCTTAAAGTTTTTAGTCACCCCTCCCTTTTGGCATTTGTGCTTATATATCCATATAGTGCATTCTCTTTTTTTACAATTGCCTGGACAATATAGCTTTATATATGTCTGTTTCCAAATTCTTTATGTCTACCTTATCTCCTCTTATCAAATTGAGTTTGTAAGGTTTCTTCTGCTTCCACTCTTCCAACCCGAAAACAATACACTATATAACATTTATAAGTTTATCATATACACAATTGAAATGGAGGTCCAGATTCTACGATATTTTAAATATATGGTAGTTGGGATTAAATATGACCAAGATAACCATTAGCCCACTCCTCTATGAGGATTTAAGGTTCACAACCTCTGCAACTGTTTTTCCCCATGTTACCTACAGAACCAGCAACAAAGTAATCCAACTTTGACAATAAAGAATATATTTCTGTCAGTGCCTTTGGCCTTCTCTCTCCTTTTGATATTATTATCCAAACTGGAGAAGTGTCAGCCTCAAATTTTACACTTTGTGTGATCAATATCGTTGTATTTATTACATTAATTCCGAGGGCCCTCCATAGTGTAACCAATTAAAATGTTACCCCTGTTACCAATTGTGACATATCCGATTTATATGGAATGAGTAATTGATTGTTCTTCTATTGAAGACCTGATGCTGCAGACTATGTTTAACTGAAGAGCCATCTCCTTTAATCATAGGCCTCCATCTGGAATCCTCATGAAACCCCAAGAATTCCCTAATACGAAATCTGCATGGTTTTTAGGCATGTTGATGCACGTGGAATCCTTGCAAAATATTCACGCTGAAATGTGTGACGATCATGTGGATCAAATTCATGTGGAATAGTGTGGATTCTATGTTGATTGCCACACATAGCCAAGTGGATTCCATGTGGATCGTATTGGGAGTGTACAACAATTTTTCCCTTAAAATAAAGAAAAAATGCTTTAAAATTACAAAACAAACCCTAGATATGCTGGAAGGAGCAGTGAAAAACTTCAACATTTGCGTTGCAGCAGTTATCCAGTACATTTATTGACCACACCATCCATAATCAGGCATGTCTTTTGATGCCCTGTAACTTCTGCAAGACTTAAAACTGAGTGTCCTTTATAGTACCCATAAAAACTTTAGACCTTCCTCTAAAAGATGTGAGAATATACCAAGCTGAATCTCCTAAAACATTTGTTTCTTGATTCTCCATAATTCCAAATGCCACGGTTTAAACAATTGCCCTAAATTTATTAGTATATATAATGTTGTTGCAGGTTATGGTGCTCCTACACCCAGACACCATCAGAACAGAGTTGTCTGTCCTATTGAATTTTTTGTGATGACTCTAGAAGACATAAAGTCGAAAAATATGCAAGGAACATTCTTAAAAGTTGCAAAATCGTGATGCATATTAATAATGGAGAAGGGTTGATTGTGCTCAGGAATATACTAACTTCATCTGCATGCATGACTGAATTAATGGAAAATTGTAGAAACCAAGAAATGTGGATAGAAGTCCTCCATTTTTCCCAGTTAATAAATATTTCATGTAAATCTATAATGTAACAGCCTGAATTACTTTATATAAGGTCGTGTTTCGTGAAATTATATTGCGCTCCTATATTTCTATCTAAAATCAGAACTGGGTCATTTGTCATGTTTGATTTTTCCTGAACAATTCTTTAAGACATATAGTCTAAAAATATGCAAAGAACGATCTAAAAATAGCAACCCAATGCAAATCGTGATGCATATTTATAATGGAAAAGGGTTTGTTGTGCTCAGGAATGTTTGATATGATAGCTTCTTCTGGACAAAACCACATCACTGCATGCATGATTGAATTTATCGAGCATTGAAGAAACCAAGAAATGGAGATAAGTCCTTCCTTTTCCCAGTTAATAAATATGTCATGTAAATCTATAATGTAACAGCCTGAATTATATGCAGATTTAAATATGTGGCATGGGTGAATATATTGAAAATCAGAAGTCATTGAAAAACTTATATTTTTTCTTCATCCGACATCTGAGTTTATTAAAAAAATCATGTATCCATCACATTCTTTATAACCATCACATAAAAGAAGAAAATGTTTTTCATCCTCCACGTCCCCCTGTTTGCAAATTTGTCATATTCTTTTATTTCAAGTCAATTTGGTTTAGTGCCATCTTTTTTTCTTCTCCTAATGTCTCCCTGGTTCAATTCCAATCCAATTTGTTTGTGAATCATCCTGCAAATATAGAGTTTATCCATGTAAATATAATAATTTTATTTATTTCATATATTTCTGGATATTTATACAATGGCTGGTTTATTGGTGTTGCCAAATTTTGTTGTAGTAGTAATCATAAATAATGTGTTCATGGTACTGTTTATGTTCAGGTTTTAATGAATCGTTACATCCCTGATTCAACAGAACAAGTAGTCTATTCATGCAATTGATTTAATGATAATATATTTATGAAATCTATACTATGTGTCTGAGGTGTTGATCCTCAGACGCATAGCAGCGAACTGAAGTAAGAAATGGAGAGAAGTCCTCCATTTTTCCCAGTTAATAAATATTTCATGTAAATCCATAATGTAACAGCCTGAATTATATGCAGATTTAAATATGTGGCATGGGTGAATTTATTGAAAATCAGAAGTCATTAAAAAACTTATATTTTTCTTCATCCGTCATCTGAGTTTATTAGAAAAATCATGTATCCATTCTTTATAACTATCACATAAAAGAAGAAAATGTTTTTCATCCTCTACATCCCCCTATTTGCAAATTTGACATATTCTTTTATTTCAAGTCAATTTGGTTTAGTGCCATCTTTTTTTCTTCTCCTAATGTCTCCCTGGTTCAATTCCAATCCAATTTGTTTGTGAATCATCCTGCAAATATAGAGTTTATCCATGTAAATATAATAATTTTATTTATTTCATATATTTCTGGATATTTATACAATGGCTGGTTTATTGGTGTTGCCAAATTTTGTTGTAGTAGTAATCATAAATAATGTGTTCATAGTACTGTGTATGTTCAGGTTTTAATGAATCGTTACATCCCTGATTCAACAGAGCAAGTAGTCTATTATGCAATTGATTTAATGATAATATATTTATGAAATCTATACTATGTGTCTGAGGTGTTGATCCTCAGATGCACAGCAGAGAACTGAAGTAAGAAATGGAGAGAAGTCCTCCATTTTTCCCAGTTAATAAATATTTCATGTAAATCCATAATGTAACAGCCTGAATTATATGCAGATTTAAATATGTGGCATGGGTGAATATATTGAAAATCAGAAGTCATTGAAAAACTTATACTTTTTCTTCATCCGACATCTGTCTTTATTTAAAAAAATCATGTATCCATCACATTCTTTATAACCATCACATAAAAGAAGAAAATGTGTTTCATCCTCCATGTCTCCTCTTTTATTTCAAGTCAATTCGGTTTAGTGCCATCATTTTTCTTCTAATGTCTCCCTGTTTCAATTCCAATCCAATTTGTTTGCGAATCATCCTGCAAATATAGAGTTTATCCATGTAAATATAATAATTTTATTTATTTCATATATATCTGGATTTTTATACAATGGCTAGTTTATTGGTGTTGCCAAATTTTGTTGTAGTAGTAGTAATCATAAATAATGTGTTCATGATACTGTTCATGTTCAGGTTTTAATGAATCGTTACATCCCTGATTCAACAGAACAAGTAGTCTATTATGCAATTGATTTAATGATAATATATTTATGAAATCTATACTATGCGTCTTAGGTGTTGATCCTCAGATGTGAGGATCAACATTCCAATCCATTCCAGTCCATTCAGACGTGGATACTTCAGTCCTTCTAAAGTATGCCCTGCTTTATTCCAATCAATAATAGAGGTATGGAAATTAATCAAAAGTGCAGCATTTTTCTTATCTCATGAGCCTTTACCATTCACCAAAATAAGGTTCTGGATGAAAATAAATTACATCATCATTCCATTCAAGAAAACAATTGTAAGGTAAAATTTTAATTCACAATTTTTCTTTACGTCCTTCCCTCCTTGCATTGCATGGTCAAATTTCTGCTTATATTCGATAAAAATACATATTGTTCATTTACCACAACATGATCGCGTTATTTCCCCAATAAAAACATCAAATTCATATTAATAATGGAGAAGGGTTGATTGTGCTCAGGAATGTAATAACTTCATAAGGACATACAACCGACTGCATGCCTGACTGAATTCATGGAAACTTGTAGAAACCAAGAAATGTGGAGAGAAGTCCTCTATTTTTCCCAGTTAATAAATATTTCATGTAAATCGATAATGTAACAGCCTGAATAACTTTATAGAAGGTTGTGTTTTGTCAAATTATATTGCGCTCCTATGTTTTTATCTAAAATCAGAAATGGGTCATCTGTCATGTTTAATTTTTCCTGAACAATTCTGTAACATATAGTCGAAAAATATGCAAGGAACGATCTAAAAATAGCAACCCAATGAATATCGTGATGCATATGCATCACGAGGTATCAAAGGTATGCATCAAAGGTGTTCATGGAACACCTTTGATCTCCGAAAAGTATTCCACTACCAGAGGTGTTCCACTTCTAGAGGTGTTCCAAATAATGTCATTGTAATTTTTGTAGTTTCAAAAGGGGAGCTGGTATATAAGACTCCCTTTCGAAAACTAGTTTTCTTGTGATGGATCCTGTAGACGATACATAGATAGGTTTATTCAAGTCTTGATATTTTAAATCAAATCGGAAGTAGTTTATTTGGATGATATTAAGTCCCT